GAGTATATGGCTATGAGCATGGCGGCACAAGAGGCTTTATGGCTAAGAAGATTGAGTGAAGAATTTGGACAATGCACAACTGCTACAGTTTTAAATATTGACAATCAAGGAGCCATAAATCTAGCACAAAATGGGGCATATCATGCAAGAACGAAACACATAGATGTAAGACATAACTTCCTCAAAGAAAAGATAGCTGAGAAATTATTACAGGTGAAATATATGTATCTACAGAGAAGCAAATTGCAGATTCTTTAACTAAAGCTGTCAATAAGAAGAAAACTGATTTGTGTGCCAAGAATCAAGGTTTAGTTTATTTTAAATAGAGGGGCATAACCTGTCGGGAGGGAATCTTTGTGGAGTTGCGTGAAAGATCAGTTAACGCAAGAAGAGAATTTAGAGAACTGGTAATAATTAAACTGGTCATAGGAAGTTAAGGTTCATACACAGTATTTTAAATAATAGTTCAACATCTCTCTACATTATATCTTTCTAATAAACCCATCAAGCTCATATCTTTGTTAAATTTCAAACAAATTGAAATAAATTATATACCATTGAAAAGAGCATTACATTCTCTATAAATCTGTGCAAAATTGAGTTTGATAGGTCAGAGAGTTTTTGAGCAGTTGAGCCTCAAAGTAAATAGACTTATAGTCCAAATTTTGTCAAAAACTTCAAACTCAATTTGCTCAAAAACTATACATCTGGAAATATTGTAAATTACAGGCCAGTTAGAGCTCAATAAAAGCTACAAATGCTGAGAATTTCAATGCAATTTGCTCAACGGTTACCGAGAAATTGAGATTTGAATATTTTCAAATCAGAATTCAAAGGGGGTACACTTATGAAAAACTCGATTTTTTTATTTTCCAGTTTTGCTCAATTTGGAATCTATTAATCGATAGAGCGAGTCAAAATTAGTGGAAAACAACCCTGACATCAATAAATCAAATAAAAAGAAAATCCTATTTTTTCCTCTGGAAAATTTTCAAGATCTTGACATGGTCATGAACAATTGCCCATATCTTTGGTAAATTTTGAGCAAATTGAAATACATTATATACCATTGGAAAGAGCATTGAATTCTCTATAAATCTGAGCAAAATTGAGTTTGAAAGGTCAAAAAGTTTTGGAGCAGTTGAGCCTCAAAGTTGACTTTTAGTCCAAATTTTGTCAAAAATTTCAAACTCAATTTGCTCAAAAACTATAAATCTGGAATAATTGTAAATTACAGGTTATTCAGAGCTTAATAAGAGCTACAAATGCTGGAAATTTTAATGCAATTTGCTCAACGGTTACCGAGCAATTGGGGTTTGAATATTTTGAAATCAGAATTCAAAGGGAGTACACTTCTGAAAAACTCGATTTTTTTATTTTTCAGTTTTGCTCAATTTGGAATCTATTAATCGCTAGAGCGAGTCAAAATTAGTGGAAAACAACCCTGACATCAATAAATCAAATAAAAAGAAAATCCTATTTTTTCCTCTGGAAAATTTTCAAGATCTTGACATGGTCATGAACAATTGCCCATATCTTTGGTAAATTTTGAGCAAATTGAAATACATTATATACCATTGGAAAGAGCATTGAATTCTCTATAAATCTGAGCAAAATTGAGTTTGATAGGTCAAAGAGTTTTTAAGCAGTTGAGCCTCAAAGTTGACTTTTAGTCCAAATTTTGTCAAAAACTTCAAACTCAATTTGCTCGAAAACTATAAATCTGGAAATTTTATAAATTACAGGCCATTTAGAGCTTAATTAGAACTACAAATGCTGAAAATTTCAATGCAATTTGCTCAACGGTTACCGAGCAATTGAGGTTTGAATATTTTGAAATCAGAATTCAGAGGGGGTAGGGTAAACTTATGAAAAACTCGATTTTTCTATTTTTCAATTTTGCTCAATTTTGACTTATTAATCGATAGAACGGGTCAAAATTAGTGGAAAATAACCCTGTCATCAATTTCAAATTGCCATTTTAAGCAGAAACAAAAATAACAAGAAAATCCTATTTTTGGCTCAGGAAAATTTTTAAAATCTTGACATGGTCATGAACAATTGCCCAGACCTTTGGTAAATTTTGAGCAAATTGAATTAAGTTATATACCGTTAGAAAGAGCATTGAATTCTCTATAAATTTGTGCAAAATTGAGTTTGATAGGTCAAATAGTTTTTGAGCAGTTGAGCCTCAAAGTTGACTTTTAGTCCAAATTTTGTCAAAAACTTCAAACTCAATTTGCTCAAAAACTATACATCTGGAAATATTGTAAATTACAGGCCAGTTAGAGCTCAATAAAAGCTACAAATGCTGAGAATTTCAATGCAATTTGCTCAACGGTTACCGAGAAATTGAGATTTGAATATTTTCAAATCAGAATTCAAAGGGGGTACACTTCTGAAAAACTCGATTTTTTTATTTTCCAGTTTTGCTCAATTTGGAATCTATTAATCGCTAGAGCGAGTCAAAATTAGTGGAAAACAACCCTGACATCAATAAATCAAATAAAAAGAAAATCCTATTTTTTCCTCTGGAAAATTTTCAAGATCTTGACATGGTCATGAACAATTGCCCATATCTTTGGTAAATTTTGAGCAAATTGAAATACATTATATACCATTGGAAAGAGCATTGAATTCTCTATAAATCTGTGCAAAATTGAGTTTGAAAGGTCAAAAAGTTTTGGAGCAGTTGAGCCTCAAAGTTGACTTTTAGTCCAAATTTTGTCAAAAATTTCAAACTCAATTTGCTCAAAAACTATAAATCTGGAATAATTGTAAATTACAGGTTATTCAGAGCTTAATAAGAGCTACAAATGCTGGAAATTTTAATGCAATTTGCTCAACGGTTACCGAGCAATTGGGGTTTGAATATTTTGAAATCAGAATTCAAAGGGAGTACACTTCTGAAAAACTCGATTTTTTTATTTTTCAGTTTTGCTCAATTTTGACTTTATTAATCGATAGAGCGGGCCAAAATTAGTGGAAAACAACTCTGACATCAATTCCAAATTGCCATTTTAGGCAGAAACAAAAATAACAAGAAAATTATATCTATTTTTGGCTCAGGAAAATTTTCAAAATCTTGACATGGTCATGAACGATGGCCCATATCTTTGGTAAATTTTAAACAACTGGAATTAAATTATATACCATTGAAAAGAGCATTGAATTCTCTATAAATCTGTGTAAAATTGAGTTTGATACGTCAAATAGTATTTGAGCAGTTGAGTCTCAAAGTTGACTTTTAGTCCAAATTTTGTCAAAAAGTTCAAACTCAATTTGCTCAAAAACTATAAATCTAGGAATATTGTAAATCACAGGCCAACAGTTTTCATTTCTGAGCCTTTTTCAATGATTTCTTATGACACAAAATCAATTTCATTCGTACTTAATTAAAATTCACAAAACGTGCTCATCGCAAGGCCTTAAACCGATTTTCCATAAATTTGAATAAAAAAAGAAACGCCGCCTCCGGATTTGAATAAATGAATTTCGCATTTTAGCTTTAACAAGTGATGCACGATGAATCAGAATTTACTCGGAGATTCCATCAAATCGTGATATTGCACAAGTCCATTGATAAAAGACTAACGAGACAAAGATAATTAACAGTTTATATCATCATTAATCAATATTTTAATACAGAACAGAATGAGAAATCGTTTTAATAATTATAGTATTGAATGTCGGATGTTTATTGTTAAAATGTTAGAAGCGCATTAGTCTTAATTATTTAGTAATTCCCTCAGACAATCAGTCAATTTAGTATTGACATGGAAGAAAAATCATAGTTCGATTTCTAAGCTTCAGATTCACTTATTCTAATGTAAAAATCCTGAATAAAAATTTGAATAAGTTGCCCTTTATCAGTACTTATAGTCATCATCCAATTCTACAAATTTTATTTCTTCCTCATAAAATCCTCCCAATTAATACACGATGGCGTCTTGAAGTCGTCAGACTTAAATTTTAAATAAAAGTGGGTGTCGAGTCCTACCATCTGGACACAAAATCTCCCTCCATACTCGCCAGATTTGAGCCTAGGCGATTTTTTCCAAAAACAAGTTTTGAATTTTTTCATTATTTTATTCAATGGCTATCGATTAAAATTGAATTTTACAACGAAATTAGCTTGAAATGGAGTAAACAGGAGCAGATGGATTAAAACGAGGTCACTAGGTTGGAGTAATGCTGGCCGATGGTGAAAAGTTTATGTTTATTGTGTATGGTTGGCGCTGGGTTGGGTGGTACTTGATATGAAATGTTTCTTCACTTATTAATCCGTTTATTTTGTGAAAATTTATTATTATTATTGTATAAGGTATGAGCTATAAAACAACCAGCCTTTACCATACGCGTATGAAAATGGTAGGAGCATTAAGTATGGTATTCAATGCAAATTGTTATAGAGATAATGCCAGCGTGTTTAGGATTCATAAAATGATCTAGAAGATTAAGCAATTGGTATTGGTGTCGATAATTGTTTAAACAAATTAGCTCGATTTGCATAAACTTTGTCATTGTGTAAATCCTTTAAACTTAGATTTAATTTAAACAACATATGATTATCAAATACTATAAGTACAAGAATTTTTATAAACTTTGTTTTTTTCTTTTTTGGTTCTCAACAACTGACAATAAAGAGTGGAAATTCCTATATAATTTCCTAGTACATATGATGTAGAATAATACCTAATATATATAATCAACCTCTTATTTATGTATATTTTATTATTGTTCCTAGGTATATTCTCAGTAATTCTAATTCCTAGAACATTTCTCTAATTTATATGTAAATAAATACGCTTAGATAACATCTTAATTATAATCGCAACCAAAACTCTCAACAAGAATTTTAATCAGCCCAACTTATTGCAGATTTTCAACTACATACTAAGCAGCTTATTGGTGCCGTTCAACTTTAATCTAATAATCCTATAATAATTGATTATTAATAGAAATACCTTACATAAAACCTTCATTTGTGTTTGTTTCAGAAATTGCAAAAGTCAGAGCCAATCTGTTTCAAATAAACGGAGTGAAAAAGGAGCCATTGATGTTACCCGAACCGGAAGGACAAATTACTACAATCACCGAAAAAGTATACGTTCCTGTAAAAGAACATCCAGATGTAAGTTGTTAATTTTATAAATAATTTATATATTATTATATGCACCTCGTTTATCTATTTTTTTTCTAAATTCTCAGGTGCTTAATTGGAAAATTCCACAGCGCATGCATAATGCACACACAGTTGCTACTTTAGTTTATTTTTAGGACACTACCTTAAGAAGCAATATTTATAGCTTATTCTTCCTAATTTGATTTATGTTTCAATTTAATTTATATGCAGATTTTTGCAATAATAATTTAATATTTAGGTAACCAACAAACATTATACAGTGTGTCCGAAATTCGAGTCTCTATATGGGGATCTTGCTTATTATGAGAGCTACAGGGTGGCTCAAATTAGGAAAGTTTTAGGGAATTTAATGCTCATTCATATCCTGTTGGTAAATTTTGCTATTGAATCTTAATTCTTCGATTTAGGACGGAATAAAACTCTGGATTTCTCGCAGCGTCAACGTTTCGTGTTTGATTTTCAGGACTACAAAATGTAAAGCAAAAAACAAATAACTTATTGTGAACGTATTAAACTGATAATAAATTAGAAACAAACAAAAAATATACGAAAAAATAGAAGATATAAGAATATAAAATATAAATACACATTAAAAAGTAAAACTGAATATAAACACTATAAATTTTCAAAAAAGGTAAAGCACACTCACCTAGCGAGGTTTTCCAATAAATTTACGAAAAGAACCCTGGATAGCCATGGGTTGACAAACAAAATAAAATAAGGGACCAACACAGTGATAAATGAGCATAAAACTGAAAATAGCCAATTTTGTTTTTCGTCAATAATTCATAAACTTTCCTAGTTTGAGCCACCCTGTAGCTCTCATGATAAGCGAGATCCCCATAATAGAGATTCGAATTTCGGACACATTGTATATATTCTTTTTAGGTTTGTGATTTCGCTATTGACCCACTTTGTTCTAATTTCTTCTCATTATATCTTTTGATTGGACTTTATAATATCGTTCTTCATTACATTATTATTCCAGGCTCTTGATTGGTCAAACTCAGAAATTAGAAGCCCACAGCTCAGGCACCAAAACTAATGAAAATTCGAGTCACAATTTTTTTTATCCTACTTCATCTGTGTCTTTTTCTTAGCTCGTTTTTTATTACTTTGTCATTCCCAGACTCTTGATTAGTCAACACTCACAAGCCTTTTCGAGCGGCATAAATATGAAGAGTTTGTGTAACAATTTTTTTGTATCCTACTTTATTTGTGGCTCTTTCTTCCTCATTGAATTTCCTATATCGTTATCTCTTAGTAAGATGTAAAAAATTCAATGAGTGAAGAAGATACACGGATAAAATAATTGTGATTGAAAGTGTGCCACAATTTTATATCCTGCTTTACTTGTGTCCCTCTTCTACTTCTACTCATCGAATTTATAATATCGTTCTTCATCACATTATTATTCCAGGCTCTTGATTGGCGAAACTCAAAAATAATAAGAATTCGAGTCACAATTTTTTTAATCCTACTTTATGTGTGTCTCTTTCTTACTGATTAAATTTCTTACATCATTGTTTATTATTTTAATATTCCAGGGTGTTGATTGGTAAGACACAAAAAATCACAAGTTTATTCTAGCGCCGTGAAGAATCACAATTTGTGTCACATTTTTTCTGTATCCTAGTTTATCTGTGTCTCTGTCTCGGTCAATGAATTTTTTTTATCGTTGTCTCTTACTCTATTATTCCTGGCGCTTGAGAAGACTTTTGTTTGACCAATCGGAAGTATGGATTAAGAAAAAAATAAACAACGATGTGACAAATGCAATAAATAGAAGACACAAATAAAGTAGGATGTAGAAATTGTGACACGAATTTTAATTATTCCTGGCGCTTAAGTGGACTTCAGTATATTCAATTCAATAAGTAGAAAAGTGACGCAAACAGAGTAGGGAAAAAAATGTGACACAATCTTTATTCCCATCTTATTTCTGTCTCTCTCTTATTCAATAAATTTCCTATATTGTTCTTATCTCCTACTCTATTATTTTCTGCGTTTGAGTGGGTTAATTGTTTGACCAATCGAAAGTCTGGAGTAATAAATTATAAGGTCTGTTTCTGTAGAAATGACAAACCAGTCAGAGCGCATTTCATTGGTTGAAAACAGTCAGAAAACAAGTTTCAACCAATGAAACTCACTCTGACTAGTTTGTGATTTCTGCAAAAACAGACCTAATGAAAAACGATGTAAGAAATGCAATGAATAAGAAAGAGACACAGATAAAGTAGGATATAAAAATTGTGACACGAATTTTGATTATTCCTGGCGCTTGAGTGGACTTTTGATTCCCATGTCTATTCAATTCAATAAGTAGGAAAGTGACGCAAACAGAGCAGGGAAAAGAATGTGACATTTTTATTCCTAACTTTTGTCTGTCTCTTTCTTATTCAATGAATTTCCCATATTGCTGTTATCTCCTACTCTATTTATTTTCCACGCTTGAGTGGATGAATTGTTTGAACAAGCGAAAACTTGGAGTAATAAAATAATAGAAAATGATGTTAGAAATGCAATGAATGAGAAAGAGACACAAATAAAGTAGGATATAAAAATTGTGATACGAATTTTGATTATTCACGGCGTTTGAGTGGACTTGTAATTTTTGTGTCTGACCATCAAGAGCCTGGAATGATAAAGTAAGAGAAAACAATATAGGAAATTCAATGATTAGGAAAGAGACACAGATAAAGTAGAATATTGAAATTGTGACACAAATTTGATTATGCCCGGCGCTTGTGTGGACTTTCAATTTTTGTATCTATATTCAATTCGATAAGCAAGAAAGTGACCCACACAGAGTAGAGAAAAAATTGTGACACAATTTTTTATCGTATCTTATTTCTGTTTCTCTCTTATTTATCAAATTTCTTATATCGTTGCTATCTCTTACTCTATTATTCCCGGTGCTTCAGTGGGTTTTGTTCGACCAATCGGAAGCCTGGAATAATAAAATAATAAACATCGATGTAAGAAATGCAATGAATAAGAAAGAGACACAGATAAAGTAGGATATAAAAATTGTGACACGAATTTTGATTATTCCTGGCGCTTGAGTGGACTTTTGATTCCCATGTCTATTCAATTCAATAAGTAGGAAATTGACGCAAACAGAGCAGGGAAAAGAATGTGACAACATTTTTATTCCTAACTTTTGTCTGTCTCTTTCTTATTCAATAAATTTCCTATATTGCTGTCATCTCCTACTCTATTTATTTTCCACGCTTGAGTGGGTGAATTGTTTGAACAAGCGAAAACTTGGAGTAATAAAATAATAGAAAATGATGTTAGAAATGCAATGAATGAGAAAGAGACACAAATAAAGTAGGATATAAAAATTATGATACGAATTTTGATTATTCACGGCGTTTGAGTGGACTTGTAATTTTTGTGTCTGACCATCAAGAGCCTGGAATGATAAAGTAAGAGAAAACAATATAGGAAATTCAATGATTAGGAAAGAGACACAGATAAAGTAGAATATTGAAATTGTGACACAAATTTGGTTATGCCCGGCGCTTGTGTGTACTTTCAATTTTTGTATCTATATTCAATTCGATAAGCAAGAAAGTGACCCACACAGAGTAGGGAAAAAATTGTGACACAATTTTTTATCGTATCTTATTTCTGTTTCTCTCTTATTTATCAAATTTCTTATATCGTTGGCTATCTCTTACTCTATTATTCCCGGTGCTTCAGTGGGTTTTGTTCGACCAATCGAAAGCCTGGAATAATAAAATAATAAACATCGATGTAAGAAATGCAATGAATAAGAAAGAGACACAGATAAAGTAGGATATAAAAATTGTGACACGAATTTTGATTATTCCTGGCGCTTGAGTGGACTTTTGATTCCCATGTCTATTCAATTCAATAAGTAGGAAAGTGACGCAAACAGAGCAGGGAAAAGAATGTGACATTTTTATTCCTAACTTTTGTCTGTCTCTTTCTTATTCAATGAATTTCCCATATTGCTGTTATCTCCTACTCTATTTATTTTCCACGCTTGAGTGGGTGAATTGTTCGAACAAGCGAAAACTTGGAGTAATAAAATAATAGAAAATGATGTTAGAAATTCAATGAATGAGAAAGAGACACAAATAAAGTAGGATATAAAAATTGTGATACGAATTTTGATTATTCACGGCGCTTGAGTGGACTTGTAATTTTTGTGTCTGACCATCAAGAGCCTGATGGAATGATAAGGTAAGAGAAAACAATATAGGAAATTCAATGATTAGGAAAGAGACACAGATAAAGTAGAATATTGAAATTGTGACACAAATTTGATTATGCCCGGCGCTTGTGTGGACTTTCAATTTTTGTATCTATATTCAATTCGATAAGCAAGAAAGTGACCCACACAGAGTAGAGAAAAAATTGTGACACAATTTTTTATCGTATCTTATTTCTGTTTCTCTCTTATTTATCAAATTTATTATATCGTTGCTATCTCTTACTCTATTATTCCCGGTGCTTCAGTGGGTTTTGTTCGACCAATCGGAAGCCTGCAATAATAAAATAATAAACATCGATGTAAGAAATGCAATGAATAAGAAAGAGACAAAGATAAAGTAGGATATAAAAATTGTGACACGAATTTTGATTATTTCTGGCACTTGAGTGGACTTTTGATTCCCATGTCTATTCAATTCAATAAGTAGGAAAGTGACGCAAACAGAGCAGGGAAAAGAATGTGACAACATTTTTATTCCTAACTTTTGTCTGTCTCTTTCTTATTCAATAAATTTCCTATATTGCTGTCATCTCCTACTCTATTTATTTTCCACGCTTGAGTGGGTGAATTGTTTGAACAAGCGAAAACTTGGAGTAATAAAATAATAGAAAATGATGTTAGAAATGCAATGAATGAGAAAGAGACACAAATAAAGTAGGATATAAAAATTATGATACGAATTTTGATTATTCACGGCGCTTGAGTGGACTTGTAATTTTTGTGTCTGACCATCAAGAGCCTGGAATGATAAAGTAAGAGAAAACAATATAGGAAATTCAATGATTAGGAAAGAGACACAGATAAAGTAGAATATTAAAATTGTGACACAAATTTGATTATGCCCGGCGCTTGTGTGGACTTTCAATTTTTGTATCTATATTCAATTCGATAAGCAAGAAAGTGACCCACACAGAGTAGCGAAAAAATTGTGACACAATTTTTTATCGTATCTTATTTCTGTTTCTCTCTTATTTATCAAATTTCTTATATCGTTGCTATTTCTTACTCTATTATTCCCGGTGCTTCAGTGGGTTTTGTTCGACCAATCGAAAGCCTGGAATAATAAAATAATAAACATCGATGTAAGAAATGCAATGAATAAGAAAGAGACACAGATAAAGTAGAATATAAAAATTGTGATACAAATTCTGATTATTCCTGGCACTTGAGTGGACTTGTAATTTTTTTGTCTGATCATCAAAAGCCTGGAATGAGTAAGTAAGAGACAACAATATAAGAAATTCAATGATTAAGAAAGAGACACAGATAAAGTAGAATATTAATTGTGACACAAATTCTGATTATTCCCGGCCTTGTTCCTTGGCACTCGGGTGGATTCGAGGGGTTATTCACTAATCACTAAGGGAAAAATATGACAAGATTTTCGGATTTAGAGCGATTTTGAAGGATTTCGGGTGATTTCGGTAGGATTTCGGAAAAATTTCAGGGATTTCGGACGAATTTGTGACACGATTTCGGGGAGTGATTAACCCCTCGGGTAGATTTGTAATTTTTGTGTTTGACCAAACCATCAAGAGCCTAGAATAATAAAGGAAAAGACAACAATGTAAGAAATGCAATGATGAAGAAAGAGACACAGATAAAGTAGAATATCAAATTTTGATTATTCCCGGCGCTTGAGTGGACTTCTGACCCATACAGAGTAGGGAAAAAAATTGTGATAAAAACTGTAACACAATTTCTCATCCTATTTTATTTCTATCTCTCTCTTATTTATCAACTTTCTTATATCGTTGCTATCTCTTACTCTATTATTCCCGGTGCTTTAGTGGGTTTTGTTCGACCAATGAAAAGCCTGGAATAATAAAATAATAAACATCGATGTTAGAAATGCAATGAATAACAAAAAGATAGAGATAAAGTGACACAAATTTTAATTATTCTCGGCCCTAGAGCGGACTTGTAATTTTTTTGTCTGATCATCAAAAGCCTGGAATGATTAAGTAAGAGACAACAATATAAGAAATTCAATGATTAAGAAAGAGACACAGATAAAGTAGAATATTAAAATTAAGATACAAATTTTAATTATTCTCGGCGCTTAAGTGGACTTTTAATTTTTGTATCTTTAATTCAATAAATAAGAAAGTGACCCACACAGAGTAGGGAAAAAATTGTGACACAATTTCCCATCCTATCTTATTTCTGTCTCTCGCTTACTTATTAAATTTCTTATATTGTTGCTATCTCTTACTCTATAACTTAAGGGATATTTGATCTAAGTGGAGCTTTGACTGTGAATTTTGTTTCTACAAGAGTCACATTCAAATCTCCACTTAGATTAAATATCCCTTAAGTTATAGCGCTGCAAATAGCTGTAAGTAATCAAAAGCCTGGAATAATAAAATAATAAATATGTATCAATGTAAGAAATTCATTTGATAAGAAGGAGACACAAATAAAATTGTAATAAAAATGTTTATTACTCTCAGCGCTATTAGATTTAATGATTTAAAAAAAGATAGGGATAAAGTAGGATACAAAATTTACGTTTTATTCATTTTTGGGGCAATTTTTCTGGTAGATTTACAAGTTCATCATTACCTTTTCATCCACAGAAAAAAACAATGATTTCCAATCATTTATCCATCTGAGTTTTCTTTTCTTCAAAAATTGTAGTACACTCTCTCTTAAATGTGAAAGCCAAAGCATACCTACTCTATCCAGAGAAATAAAAATCTGATTTCTGACCTTTTAGAGCGACTTATAAAGCTCATTTTTGACCATTATGGGAATGCAATTCCACTGTAAAAGCTTATTAATGGCTCTTTTTGAGCTGAAATTGAATTATAGAGAACAATAATTCGAATTCCAGATTTAAAGCTGAGCTGGAGTGACGCAGAAAAGTTAATATTTGACTCTCATAGAGCTGGATCTGAGCTACAGAAGCCTAAGATGGGACTCTTAAATCCCCCCCATTGGCATTTATTCTCTATTGATTTTGATAATAGGGAAAATATTGAGTGTTATAATTAATTATCTCTATTTGTTACAGAATCCCAGCCCTTTCCTATAGCTAAAATACAATCAGAAAAAACTCTAAAGTTTCTAGATTGTCATAAAAGTTTTAATAATGTGAAAGCTATCTGTGTCTAGATTATTTTGGAAATATGTAAAGTTTAGTGTATAAAGATTAAATAGTCTCTAGATTACTGAAGAAGCGATTCAATTTATTATAGAGCTCATAGAGAATTTACAGAACTGTGTCTAGATCATAATATAGGAGGATGTAGAAGCTATTCTTAAGGGCTCTATGGATTATTTAGATTAATGTGGAGTTCGTGTCTTAGTCGCTATAGACTGGAAGTTATTTTGTTTTTTTTTTTCACAATATATTGAAAATTTTTAATATGCAAAGCATTTTCTCTGTATAGTTTTACCTCGAAAGCCAGGATGTGTCACACTATAACATAGAAAACAAATTGTTTCGCATAAATTCCGTTCGATGCTTCTAATTAATCATAGTAATTAAACATCTGCATGCATCACAGTAGCGGATTGTGCAACGTAATTTTTTTTTCGCCAAGGTCTAAAAAATAGTTTATCCATTATTTAAATAAATAAATTTCTTCTTTTTGCAGTTCAACTTTGTCGGAAGGATCCTGGGTCCTAGAGGCATGACGGCCAAACAATTAGAACAAGAAACCGGCTGTAAAATCATGGTGCGAGGGAAGGGCAGTATGAGGGATAAAAAGAAGGTGTGTATTCACATAAATTTAGGACAAGTACTTATCAATCGACAATTCTTTTGTCTTGTTCAGTCAATTAGCTTTAATTTGATCCTACATTTTTTTTGGGTGGAGTCTTTTTCTCTAAACCTAATAAAAATGTCAATGGGGATAATTTAATGCTAGTAGTTATAATCTAAAAATAAGGTCTTAATAGTAAAATTCCTAATTTAATTCCAAGAGTAAAAATTCTAGTTTGCTACCTATTTTTGGCTCATGGCCAAAGATCTATTTTCTAAAAAGAAAAAATAAACATTCAGTAGACGGATTTTCCTATTTTTTCCGAAATATTTTCAATCTTTGAGGTCTCTTAAAATGTTGAAGAGTAGGTAATGAATAATCTTCCAAGCTAATTGGTCGTCTTATATTTCCTCTCTCTCCTAATTTATTTTCGAATAATATTTTATTTTTAGACTAAAGTTTTTCGATTTTAATTACAGGAAGATCAAAACAGAGGAAAACCGAATTGGGAACATTTGTCAGACGAACTGCATGTACTTCTCACAGTGGAAGATACCGAAAACAGGGCGCAAATGAAAATGGCCAGGGCGGTCGAAGAAGTTAGAAAGTTATTAATACCAGTAAGTAATTTTGATTCTATATTATTCAGCTTTTTTTATAAATTTAATAAAAATGTACAGGTTGCTTTACTAAGTCAAATATTGTCCTAGATTGACAAATATTTACTCTATGTTTCCTTATCTTCAAGAGGGTATTAGCTTTATAAGAAAAACCTAGTTTTTCTTTTAAAACTACTAAACATATTTATCACATAAACGTGTTCAATTAGGAAACAATAGCTACAGAAATAGACGCTCGTGAAAACCAATATTCGGGCCTCTAAAATTGGACTCTCGTAAATATTTAGTTGTCTCGTTAAAATTATTATTACCGAGCCATAACTATATGTATTAACAATGTTTAAATAAATTTTTCAAGTTTAGAGGTATCTATTTTTATTTTATAGGCTGCAGAAGGCGAAGACGAACTGAAAAAGCGACAACTTATGGAACTGGCCATCATTAATGGAACTTATAGAGATTCTACAGCAAAAGCTGCTAATGGTAATTATACTTGTGTTGTACGGCACTGTTTAAACATCTTATAAGGTCTGTCCCAACACGTCAGAGACTGTCCCATGAACGGTTTCCAAACAACAAATTTCACACTTTGCGCAGAATCGTTGTACATTGTACGGTTTCCTGCTGCGTTGGAACAGACCTATAGTAATGTTATTTTAAAGTCCATTCTTTTCACTCTCTAGTCGCCCTATACCGCGCTCAGTATCTAAGTTCAGACTTCACTGATGTAGATCTCTCCGTTCTAGCTGCCGCCGACGAAGAATGGCGGCGAATTGCCGCCACCATCGAATCTCAGAGGCTGTTGTCGCCGGGCGGTATGCCCGGATTGGCCACCTCGATGCGTCCACCCAACGCACCCTTGGGTACGCCACTGATTATCAGTCCTAGGATACCTACGACCGCTGCCAGTATATTGAACGGATCTGCACCACCTGGGTAAGAATTTTTATACTATTTTTAGTTTTGGTAATGTAGCTGGAAAGGTTTTAAAGCAACCAGTCTTACTGGTGGTGGGGAGAATGTCAAAGTACGTACTGACTACCATAATACCATGTCTTAGTTTCAAAATAATGATAATTGTTGATGTTGATTTCGGTTTCGAGAATAAACATCCAGCAATGTTTGAAATGTTTGTTGTCTTACAACAAACTGAAGTTCTTTTTTTAAACAACTACAGATACTTAAAGTAGAATAATAAATCATAGTAATTGACCAGAAGAAAAGGTAAATCTTCAGTGGCGTACCCAGGCTTCTGGTGGAGGGATGTCCAAAACACATAAGCCGCTTTCCAGTACGCACATTGGCGCGCTCTGGCGAGCACCTCAGGGGCGCCACGCACTAAATTTTTACCGTTCCAGTATCATGGCGTGAGACGCCTGTCTTAGTGTCAAATATGTCAAATTTTAAAAATAATTATCTGTTTGTTTGTGCAGTTTGTTTTTTTATTTATCAAAAATGAAAGAGAATCAAAACTATATTTTTTAAAATGTTCAATCTTGAGATATAACAAGAAATAAATAAATAAATAGCCACCCACGGATGTGACAGCTGACAGGTTGACGCGTACGTACAGCTCAGGAGCTCAACGCCCCGAGTAGCTCCGGGCGTCACACTCCCATACTGGAACGCGGCTATACTGCCTACCATACCAGTCATACCACTGGAAGTTGGCACTTTCAAGGTCTCTATTTTCGAGACAGAGAAACAGCGGTCTTATGAGAATGAAGGTTCTGTCTTCGTCATCCATATTTATATTTCCATAACACTGACAAAGACAGAGCAATTCAATCGTTCTAATGAGAACGCTATTCCCTGGTTTCGAGAATAAACATCCAGGAATATTTAAAATGTTTGTTGTCTCACAACAAACTGAACTTCTCTTTTTAAATAACTACAGATATTGGAAGTAGAACAATAAACCATAGTAATTGACCAGAAGAAAAGTTAAATCTTCAGTGTCGTACCCAGGCTTGTGGTGGGGGGATGTCAAAAATACATACTGCCTACCATACCATTCACATTACTGAAAGTTGGCACATTCAGGGTCTTTCTTCTCCAGACAGAAAAGCAACGTACTTATGAGAACGAAGGTTCTGTCTTTGTCACCCATATTTATATTTCCATGACACTGACAAAGACAGTGTAATTGAATCGTTCTCATGAGAACGCTGTTCCGCGGTTTCGAGAATAGACATCCAAGAATGTTTAAAATGTTTGTTGTTTTGCAACAAACTGAACTTCTTTTTTTAAATAACTACAGATATTGAAAGTAGAATAATAAACCATAATAATTGACCAGAAGAGAAGGTGAATCTTCAGTGGCTTACCCAGGCGTATGGTGAGGAGATGTCAAAGATACATACTGCCTACCATACCAGTCATACCACTGGAAGTTGGCACTTTCAAGGTCTCTATTTTCGAGACAGAGAAACAGCGGTCTTATGAGAATGAAGGTTCTGTCTTCGTCATCCATATTTATATTTCCATAACACTGACAAAGACAGAGCAATTCAATCGTTCTAATGAGAACGCTATTCCCTGGTTTCGAGAATAAACATCCAGGAATATTTAAAATGTTTGTTGTCTCACAACAAACTGAACTTCTCTTTTTAAATAACTACAGATATTGGAAGTAGAACAATAAACCATAGTAATTGACCAGAAGAAAAGTTAAATCTTCAGTGTCGTACCCAGGCTTGTGGTGGGGGGATGTCAAAAATACATACTGCCTACCATACCATTCACATTACTGAAAGTTGGCACATTCAGGGTCTTTCTTCTCCAGACAGAAAAGCAACGTACTTATGAGAACGAAGGTTTTGTCTTTGTCACCCATATTTATATTTCCATGACACTGACAAAGACAGTGTAATTGAATCGTTCTCATGAGAACGCTGTTCCGCGGTTTCGAGAATAGACATCCAAGAATGTTTAAAATGTTTCTTGTCTTACAACAAACTGGACTTCTTTTTTTTTAAATAACTACAGATATTGAAAGTAGAATAATAAACCATAATAATTGACCAGAAGAGAAGGTGAATTTTTAGGGGCGTACCCAGGCGTATGGTGGGGGATGTCAAAAATACATACTGCCTACCATACCAGTCATATCACTGGAAGTTGGCACATTCAGGGTCTTTATTCTCGAGACAGAGGAGCAGCGTTCTTTTGAGAACGAAGGTTCTGTCTTTGTCACCCCTATTTATATTTCCATAACACTGACAAAGATAGAGTAATTGAATCGTTCTCATGAAAATGCTGTTCCCCGGCTTCAAGAATAGAGATCCAGGAATGTTTGAAATGTTTGTTGTCTTACAACAAACTGAACTTCTCTTTTTTAAATAACTACAGATATTGAAAGAAGAACAATAATAAACCATGGTAATTGACCAGAAAAAAAGGTACATATCTTCAGTAACATACCCAGGCTTGTGGTGGGGGGATGCCAAAAATACATACTGCCCACCATACCATTCACATTACTAAAAGTTGGCACATTCAGGAACGTTCTGTCTTTGTCACCCATATTTATATTTCTATAACACTGACAAAGACAGAGCAATTCAATCGTTCTCATGAGAACGCTGATCCGCGGTTTCGAGAATAGACATCTAGGAATGTTTCAAATGTTTGTTGTTTCCATTGACCTCTTCATGCTCCTTGACTTTGTCAATTTCAATCCGATTTTGACACCTGTCAAATGTCATTATTTTGACATTAAGTGTTCTTGCATTGGAAACGTCCAAAATGTTTTATATTGGTTTAGAATGTTTTACAGTGGAATTATTTGTGACATAAAAACTTGTCATTTTTCGGATTTCAAAAAATTTGAATTTGTCAAATGTTATTATTTTAATAGTTAATTTTTGATGAGCTTCAAAATCAGTGTCATTTCTTGAATTAGATAATTTTTGACAACTCTCACAATTGAGTTTGATAGTAACTTTTCAAAAATTGACATCTATCAAATTTGTGTAATTTTTGTAGAAATGAAATTGGACACTTTTGGACAGCTGTCAAAGTTAAATTTGATAGTTCGATTTTGCTCTAGAATGTTCGATATTACTCTGGAATGTTCGATTTTGTTCTTAGAATGTTCTACAGTGAAAAAAAGTTGACTAAAACCTCCGCCCTTCGGGCTTGTTATTAAAAAAACTCCGACCCTGTATACGAATTTCGGTTTCTACGCAAACATTTTAGGTTTTGCGCAGTATCCTGTCGGTTATATAACGATTTGCTGCTGGGTTGGAACAGTAGCTATTTATGTACCAAGGGGATTTATGTAGATTATAATGCCCGAAGGCGAAACTAGCCCGAGGGCCTCTGGCCCGAGGGATATATTTTGCCTGAAGGGCATTATAATCTTAAAATCCCCGTGGTGCATACAATGCTTCATTTTCTCCTCAACACAATGTTCTTTCATCAATTTAGTATCAACAAAATCAGTTAAACTTGTGTGACAGAATCATAGACATAGAATGACAGCATATTGTTTTATATTTTGACATGTACCTGTACCTAGAAACGAAATAAATCAATATACCTATAAACATCCCATAAGACAAGGCTACGTCCTGCGGATCGTGTGGGTTAAAGCACTTGACTACATGGGAAACGTTGATGGTAGACCCGGTTCAAATCCTGGCCAGACCTAAAATTATTTTCGGTCAGACATTTAGTGGCTGCCTAGGGTAAAGTGCAAATTAATAAAGCAACAACAGCAAAAACCCTTCAGGGTATTATAAGCGGGCGTTATGGATCATAACGCCCGCTGGGCTTATAATGCCCTCAGGTTGTTATAGGTATATTAACGTATTTCGTTTCCTTGGTATTATGGACCTATAATAGTTAAGTAGAAAATAAAGCTAATTACGAAACCGAAGGGCCGAAGTTATTTTAATCACGAGCTTGGAGAGCCGGGGTTCAGTCTATAATTCTATTGGTCAGCGGATAATTTGGAGCCAATCAAAAACATTTTTTTTAAATTTGATTTCAAGTAGGAAAAGGTTGTGATGTCTATCCTTGGTTAGAGGTTAATGGTTGTCTCACAACAGTCTTACTTATTTCAGTTATTCAGGGCAAAAGTTATAGGCACACCTTAGTTTAGAATGGACACTTGTTACTATTGGACAAGAGGCTATCAAGTTAATTCTAAATGCCCAAGGCTTCCAGTTCCAAATCTACCTTAAGGAGCGACTATAAAATTGACCTCTAATAGCTTCAACAATTAAACCAATAAACCATTGTAATTATTGACCAGAAGAAAAGGTAAATTATCAGTAGCGTCCCTAGGCTTATAGTGGAGGGGACGTTAAATATACATACTGACTACTATACCACTGAAAGTTGGCATCTTCAGAAACATCTACCTATCTAAAATGTTGCTACCATTACAAAACCTTCCCAGTTACTAAAACATCAATCACTTTCAATGATAATTAAAGTATTTCCTAATAATGCAGCTAAAAAAAAAAATCTTGGTGGATATTTTAGTAAGTAATCAACCAACTTTTAAACTCACATATGTTTAGCATTTCTGAATTCACAACTATATGGGTTTTCTAGATCACTTTTGTCTCCTGGTGAGCATCACGGTCTGATCTACGCCCCCTACGCAGATTACTCGAACTATACGGCAGCCCTGGCGGCGAGCCCCCTAATGACGGAATACGCGACGGCTGATCATGCTGGTGGGTTATTTGCTCGTTGACTCGTACCCCCAATTTTTATGTGTTATCAGCAGCCGCAGCGTCCCGGAGCCCCTTATTATTATAATAGTAGTTATTATCCGAGGAGATAGTTGTTGTTTGATGGGGCTCCCGGAATAATTCCCATCATAAAAAAAAAAACTAAAAATTGGGGTTACTTTATAGTAAAAGTGAAAGGGTATATGTGAAATTTACCCTTTTGCGGTTCACTTTCTTTTTATTGTTTTTTCTTTGTAGATTTAAGATTTTATTAGGTTTCCCATCAGGCGCCTATGACGCATAGAAGGGCGCAATCTCTTTTTTTTTTTTAGTCATAATAATTATTTTTACAAGTTTTTTTATTATGTATTTTCTGTGATAATTTCTAACCAATCAGGTTATTAAACTGTATGTATTTTTTTTTGTTGTTTCAAGATCATTATTTTTTATTTAAATTTTTTTAATTTTACACTTTTTTTGTTTTTTTGCAGATGTTTTTACATATATTTATTTATAGCACTAGAACGCAAGTCAGACTTTAATTCTCAATACAACAATGTGTGTTTAAATAAACCAAGTTTTATTTATAGTTAGAATATAATTAAAAATTCTTCATTAGTCAATTTTGTATGTCCTTATTAAGCTGAAATTTATTGGTGCTATAATATCGTACTTAAAGCCATAAAGGTATATTATAGGTTTTTCGATTTTGTATTCAATAGTTTATATAATTATTTGTATTTTTACATTGCATTTAAGAGTGAAATTATGATTTAGTTTTTAGTAATTTGTATATATTATTATCAATGAAATATTGCTGAGTTAGTTTTAATTTATCAAGAAAAAAAAGGAAACATTGCTTTAATTGTTTATTTTCTAAGTTAGGGTAGCTCTATGAAATTATAGGATGTAAATACGATTTAAAGAATCTCACTTTATATAGTAATTTTATATAATTAATACATATTCATGTGCAGGTGCGTCCAAGCAAAGACGTGTGGGACAAATAAGAGAGCATCCGTATCAGAGAGCAGGAGCTCTCTCTTAAACTTTATGCTCTTTTTTTGCAAAAAAGGTTAGTTGACTTTTTTATTTTTGTGTATTTCTTTTTATTTTTATTTTTTTTTTGTCTCTCTGTTTTTTCTTTTTTGTCAGTATTTTTAGACGGGTTTTATATATTTTTTTTATTATTTTTTGAGATGCTCTCAAATTTAAATGTAGTTGACATTTTGAACCAGTAACTTTTTAAAATAATTAGATGCATCCTTGTTTTGATCCTTATAAATTTCTCTTATATGTATTTATGTGCATACTTTCATAAAAATAGCTTCATATTGCCCTGTTGAAAAAACACTTTCAAGGTTATTTCAGAGAATCTTTTACTTTTACTTTTGTAAAGTAGGTACCTAAATGTTTGTGATCCTACTAGCATAGGAAGTGTTGAATGGGAGTTTCTTCTATTATTTAATAAATATTTTCTTTCCTGTGATTTCCATATATCAAGTTCTTCATACATTCTAGTATTTCCCCAAACTTTTTGGGACTTCCTTGAACTTGTATAAATTGAACTTCCTCCAAATTTCCATATAACCCCCTCAATACTTTCCTTACTTGTTCTACAAGATTTCGCTTGTAAAGGTAAAAACTTCGAAGTTGAAATCTTTCTTGCTCTATTTGTTCCAGAGTGTACTTTGGTTGAAGTCATGAGCCTTGAAAACCTTCAAGATTATTGAGAAGACAGTCTTTTGAGCCTCTAAATGCTTTAAATTAAGCGACTCAAAGTCTTGAGTCTTGAAATTTTTAATTGTTTTTAGAATTTTTGAATGCTACAGTTTGACATCCATTATCAGCTGATTCTTTGAATTTCATATTCTAAAATCTTGGAAAATGTATTATCAAAGAAAATCAACCTTCGAAGAGTTTAAATCAGGTTTCAAATGTCTTCATGACTTCAGAAATGTTACTATAGTTTGATATGGCCTCGAAAATATGCTCACAATTTTGGTAATTCTCAACGAATCAACTTGTATTATAGATTTTCTAAAAGAGGATTAAATTCTCTATAAAACCTCTAAATATGAAATTAGTTGATTGTATAAGCTTTGAGAAATTAGGCTTTAAACTTGAAACTCTACTGAGATTTTGTCAAAAACTTCAAGTTCAAAAAACCATAAGTCATATAAATATTTAGCAAATAAAGTATTGAAGTATTCAATGAGTGGTACAATCTCTGAAAATTTTGATTGGATACCTTTTATGGTTACCCAGATATTGCCAATTGAAGATTTTGAATAAAAAATCCAAAGGAAAATTTCGAATTTTTATATTTTTCAAATTTTGACTTTTTCAATCCAAAGAGGAGATTGAAATTAGTTGAAATCATATCACACGTTACTTTGAAAAGTTTAGTTTTATGAGAAAAAAAAAAAATAAAATAAAAGAAAATGTCGATTTTGACCTGAGAAATTTTCTTATATATTGACATGACTTCAGAAATTTGTTCACAGTTTTATTAATTTTCAACGAATCAACTTTTATTATTGATTTTCTGAAAGAGAATTAAATTCTCTATAAAACCTCCAAAAACGAAGGTAATTGATTCCATAAATTTTGAGAAATTAGGCTTCAAACTTCAAATTATTCTGAGACGTCTTCAAATTTTAAAACTCATGAAAGACTCTGATGTCTTCAAGAGCTTCAAAATCCAAACTAAATATTCAACGATCCGAATAATACAACTTCAAACATTTCGTATCCCAACAAAGAGTATTATTATTGTTTCTGGGTTTATTTCCAAATTAATGCGGAAAAAACAACAATTACTGTCCTATAATCTAAATACAAAGTTCACTGGTTCAAGTTAAAACTTATTACCGAACAAATTATTATCGTTTTTAGGGCCCCAAATTTACATTTGAACATTAGGGTTACCATTTAGCTTTATAAAACGAGTACCTCATTTTTTTTTAAACATCACCAGACACTTGTGATAACTAGTCCTGAAATATTGTGTATATTTTTAGCCAAGCAAAAGAACAATAATAATTATTTATAATAATTTATTTTATAAAAAAATCTAGTCTAATTATTAAAGGGGGGGTCCTTTTTTTTTAAAAAAAAAAGCATCTATTATAACGTCTTCACCGTTTTTAGTTTTTAAGTAGTTTTTTTATTTTATTTAAATTATATTATTATTATTATATTTTTTTTTTGTATATGTTGTTGACTTGCGCCAATGTGGAAAATATATTTATACAAAAACAAATTATTTTATTTCCTTTCAAAAAAAAAATTTACCTCAAAAGAAGCACTCATTTCTATTAAAAAAAAACATAACGATGTAATTAAGTTTGATTAATCAATTGCAAATAATATTAACACACATTTTTAACTAATAATTAATAATTCCACAAGTGGCCAAGTAACTTCTTCTGTGCGAGAGTGGATGCGATTAAAAATTAACCAAGTGAGAATGAATGGAGCACCTTGTAAAAATCCATTTCTTGCTTATTTAACTAACAAGGCTATTAATGCACGACTTGGTTATATTTTTAATCGCATTTTATTTAGTTGATTCGTAGTCGAAGGAATTTGCAGGATTTATATGCATGTAATTAATAGGGGTTTATAGTTACAAAAGTCGGTAATTTTTGTTTGTGATTAACTTTTCATTTATTGGTTGATATGAAGTATACTAACCAATCAAATGCTTGAATTTTACTTACAGAATGATTCATTTTCATGATAAACTGTCTCTGGTAATGTAATCTTATTGGTGAGCCAATTATTTACTGACCAATATCTTATAGGTAGATTACTAGTAAGTTTATCTGGAGATAAATAAATCGGGCCTAAATAGAATTATGTGGTACAAATTTTACTCCTTGAGATATGAAATATTATGCCACTCAAAATTTAAACAAAAATTTGCTCAATTGAATTGATCATTGGCTGATATAATTTGCATCATAAAAAATAAAAATCCTGCTTGTTCTTTTCTACTACAAATTAGCTATTTTAAATTATTTGTTTTTTGAATTTTTTTTTTTTTATCACAAATTACTAACAATCTGTTTTTCTTTTTCTTTTTCCTGTTAACCAAAAATTATTGGGGCTCCAGCTTTAAAGAAGGTGCTAACCCATCCACACTCGTCTCACCTCCCCCCACACAGTAAAGCCAGACTAACCAATACGTCATACGTCCTACTACTACTACGTGGAACCCTGGATTATTGCTATTGTTTATGGGGTTAGCGGTATGTCAAATAACTACTACATCACTAATTAAGAGGCCGATTATTTTTCGGGTCTAGATCCGAAAAATGATTGACAGTTTTTACTAACACTGTTATACATTATTTGTACTTTCTTTATAATTTATTAATAATCTCATTTTTTTTGTAATTGTAATTATTTGTGCATTTGAAATTGGCTTATATTTTCTTTTGGAATGTAAGACAATTTTTTTTCAGCAATTACTAACAAATAATCTCAATATATTTTGTAATAAAATTTATCTTATATTGGAAATATACTCTTTAATTTTAATTCTTTGTAACCAAATTATGTTGAGATTATATTAATATTACTTTTCATTTTTCATCTATTTAAGCTTCCAATGTCTAAATACTTTTGTAGTAAGTAGACAATAATAATAATTAATCAAATATAAATCGATAAAATACAAAATTAAATATGTACATTTTTATACGTATGTATAATTTTTTTATTTTATCGCTTTTGCATATTAGAATCTTAATTTTACTAATAATTTTTTCGTTAAAGTACAAACAAATTTCGAGTGCCAATTTATTTAGAAAAAAAAAAACAAATGTATCGAATTATTTTAATAGATTTGAGTGCGACAAATTGCACACCAATCAGAAAAATTTATTGAAATAATAATTATTATTAATTTTTGGATATATTATATCCAACTTTTGAGGTCAAGTGTAAAATATCCTTTCAATTTTAACCCTTGATAATTCGATTAGCATGTGTTGCCATAGCAACGACGTCAGGAACGTCACGGTTTCATCGATTGATAAAATCGAACGGATTGATTTAAATTTTAATTTTTTATCAGTTAATTTTTCTGATTGTTTTGCTTTTAATTAAGTGGACTTATTTTAAGGCTATCAAACAGGTAGGTATTATTTTGTTACATTAGCGACTTAAAACTCATACATTAATGTAAGAATAATTAATTTTTGGATGAAATTTTATTAATATTTCCGTCCTTGGACAATAATGAAGCAATAAATTTGAAAAAAAATACTCACAATCAAAAACTTTAAGGGTGCAATCAACAGGCATTTTGCCTATAAGTTAAAGTGCAATCTCAAGTTAATAAGGGTCTGTTATGGAGTAATAAATAAGGGCTTAATTTTTGCCCCATGATATTTATAATCGTTATTATATTGATATATTATATGTTGTACTTATAGTTTTTATCTCAAACGTCGAATAATATATTATATATATAGCACAAAATTAGTTAGTTTAAAAATAAAATAAAGCACAAATTTAAATTCAAAACATACCGGGTAGGGCACGAAAAACTTTCCACCCAGGTTTTCTCAGGTGTTAGGTGTTTAATAAAAAAATCCCTCAGACACGTCAATTTTTGTTTTTTGGGGGACACATTTTATTGGTATTTTCACCCCCTACTCGTGAATCCCTAAGTGGGGGTAAGAGGTACCCCCAAAATTTCAAATGGAAAGAGGGGTCGAGTGATATGTCATTTGGTAGCTATTTTCATTGAGATTATATCCCCGAAGTTTTGAGTTGCTACTATTAACCCTGTCAAAATGACGGCATGTCAAAATTAGGATAAATGCTTTTTTTCGTTAATCTAAGCTGTATAGTTTTTACCTGCCACACCTATGCGTAGGTAACAGGTAAACACCACATAGCATTTTTCCATTGATTTTTCCTAACTTTGGCAAGCCGCCATTTCGACAGGGTAAATAGTAGCAACTTGAAACTTCGGGGATATAATCTTAATGAAAATAGCTATCAAATGACGTATCAATCAACCCCCCTTCTCATTTGAAATTTAGTGGGTACCTGTCACCCCCACTTAGGGGTTCACAGGTAGGGGATGAAGAAACCAATAAAATGTGTCCCCCCAAAAACAAAAATTGACGTGTCTGAGCGATTTTTGATTAAACACCTAACACCTGAGAAAACATGGGTGGAAAGTTTTTCGTGCCCCACCCGGTATATTATCGTGTCATATTATTATACCTTACATAAGTGCCTTGACTTATTAGGTTTTATTAAGTGTTTTTATTCAAATTACTTTTTTTTTTTAGATGAATCTTTTTTTAGGTTTTTATTGTGTTGTCTTCAGTGTCTTTGAAAAATATATTATATATTATAAAGTTTGCACGATGAAATTGATTTGAAATAAAAGTATTTTACTGTGTTAATTTTTGTGTTTGATTTTATGTATAGGTACCTAGGAATCTCCTACATCTGTAAATTTGGGAGGGTGGTATATATTGTCAACCCTAAATGGGATCACAGGCTACAACCAAATTCAATACACTGAACCACTGGTTAAAACAAATAACTGAAACTAAGCAAGAAAACACAACCAGACTAATTAACCTAATTATAGTCAGCAAATATTGGATATAAAAACCACTGCCACACTATGGCAAGTCAGTTGTTTGTCAGCCAGCGCTTTTCTGTATCAGTAGGTGTTTAGACACGCCTCAGTACAGGGTGAGTCACTATATTTTGACACCCACCTGCAGCCAAAATTACAGGTGATAGGTGAAAATACAAAAGTTGTAGCATTTTATCTAAACCACCAGAATTATTAATTAGATTGGAGGAATGAGCAATACAAATTTAAAAAATATGTTAATGTTCGCATTTTTTAAAATGGAATGCACTTTATTTTCTTTCAAATTCTTGAAGTTTTCGTTTTTCTGATTCAGATTAGGTATAGAATATATTAATGATTCTTTCAATATAGTTTTGGCAATATCTGGAGTTTAGTTATTCATAGACCTATTCATTTATCAGAATGTTTTCCGAACAGGTGACAGGTAAATCAAGATAAAATATATTCAAAAAACTACTGTCCTTGAATAACTGAACTCAAGATATTTCCAAAACTATTGAAAGAAACATTTACATATCATATAATTTGAATGAGAAAAACGAGAACTTTAAGAATTTGGAGGAAAATAAAGGGCATTCCATTTAAAAAAAGTGAACATCGACATATTTTTTTAACTTTATGTTGCTCATTTGTTCAATTTAATTAAAAATTCTGGCAGTTCAGATAAAATGCTACAACTTTTGTATTTACACCTTTTACCTATCACCTGTAATTTCGGCTACAGGTGGGTGTCAAAATATGGTGTCTCACCATGTACAGAGTGGCCTAAATTCGAGCCTCATCATTGGGATCTAGGTAACCGTAAATTATGGCAAAGTTGCATAATTTTATGACCAATGGAATGCCGTTTTGAAACTAGAAAGATTCCGAATACTTCCGGAGATATTTGGAAAAAACCGAAATTTTGTAAAATCGTTTTTATTTTTTCCCGGGCTTATTTAAAAGCAATTTTAAAATAAATGTCACTTTTACCCCTTTAAAAGATGATGCTACTAAATTTAAATTCGACGTTTCGTCTTCGGGCAGCCATCCTCAACTTACGTTTTTCAAATACGGACCTAGATTTTTTATTTGCGATTTTGTCATCTTTGGGCATCCTAAAACCGATACTGTTCATAATTTTTCAATACCACAGTAAAAAAAGCAGGTCCGTATTTAAAAAAATAAATTGATGATGATTCCAGAGGAACGAAACGTTGGATTTCAAATTTAATACCGCCATCTTGTAGAGAAGAAAAAGTGACAATGGGAATGTGATAGTTATTTGTTTTACTTATAGGCAGAAAAGTACAAGATTTAATGCCGCGGCTGGTGTTTCATAGCCGAGGCATAGAAGAGGCTAGGAAACCAGCCTAGGCATTAAATCTACTTTTCTGCCATGTAAAACATATAATTTTTTCTCCGAATGTTCAAATTCACACATGGATATCTTTTCTATATTTATTTCATTATTATTATCCAAATAATTGTCATTGTCACCATCAATTTCAAATACCAAATTGAGTGAAATTATCACCTGGAACGTTGTGACACTGTCACTTATAATGCCTAGACAGTAAAAGTCCAGTTTTACTGCCTAGGCAGTAAAAATACAACTTTTGATCCCGTCAAGTGTCATTAAAAGCCCGCTTTTACTGTCATTCGGAGAACAAATTAGTTTTTCGAAATCTTTTTAAATGGAATTAGGAAAAAATTTAAGAAAAACGAGAAATTCATGATTCTTTTGGTATAGTTTTAATTTTTTCCTGATTTTATTTAAAAAGATTGTGAAAAACTAATTTTACATTCCCATTGTCACTTTTTCTTCTCTACAAGATGGTGGTATGTATTAAATTTTAAATCCAACGTTTCATTCCTCTGACATCATCATCAATTTATTTTTTTTAAATACAGACCTGCTTTTTTTACTGTGTGTTATTGGAAAATTGTAAACAGTATCGGTTTTAGGATGCCCAAAGATGAGAAAATCGCAAATAAAAAATCCAGGTCCGTATTTAAAAAAAGGAATTTGAGGATGGCCGCCTGAAGACGAAACGTCGAATTTTAAATTTAGTAGCACCATCTTCTAAAGGGGAAAAAGTGACAACGATGAAGTGACATTTATTTTAAAATATCTATTCAAATAAGACCAGGAAAAAATAAAAACGATTTTACTAAATTTCGGTTTTTTCCGAATATCTCCGGAAACTTTGTAGTTTCAAAACGGCATTCTAATGGTCATAAAATTGCGCAATTTTGCCATAATTTAACCGACCCCATATCTCTTACGGTTTCCGAGATCCCAATGATGAGGCTCGAATTGGGGCCACCCTGTACATATACCAATTTCCCGAAATAGGGATAAAAATAAAACAACAGTTTGGAAACAAATAATAATTAAGTCACAAAATTAAAATTAAAATTAAAATTCTAAGTCCCCATCTTCAATTTCTGAGCTTGCATGATCAACTCCTTCTTAAGCCCAGTATGTTGATTACTAAACCATCTATGAAATTTGTTAATCGAGGGATGATTGGTATTGCCTTTTGCCAACAGCTGTTTGTAATAAGTCAATCTGCACGCTTTGAAACAGCTGCTATTCCTGAAAGGCACCGAAGTCAAGGGATCAACGTAGCGGGCAGGCAACCTGTAAGAAAATTGATAATTGAATTAGGATTTTAATTGATTAGAAATTAATTCTTACCCTGTGATGCCGCAATAGAGTAGTCTAGGGGCTTTAGAAGCAGGTTTCACTCCGAATATTTTGTTGAAAGTAATATTGTGTGGGTCGTTTTGGATTGATATAACAGTTCTTTCACAAACTTTTGTTGTTTCATCATTAGTTTCTTCAATTAGAGGCACTCTAGTTGAAGTGTATCTTATTGTAGGGCCTGTAAATTGTTTCTTTCCAATTTTCCTAGTTTTTTTTTCATCTTCTAGTTTCTGATATCTTTCTAGAGATTTCAAATTTTCTTGAGCAGTGATTTTAGCTTCCTCTAAAAGTTCTTCCTGAGTGGGAATTAATTCTTCTTCTTTAGCTTTTTTAGGACGCTGTTTCGATTCTTGATCTCTCACTTTCATTCTGTGTACTGTTTCTGCTGTTTTTGCTGCTGTAGATTTTCTTTTAGATTTTCTTTCTACAATTAATAGGAATATTGAATGAAATACATATTATTAATAAGGAACAAAATTACTTACCAGATGAATCAATAGATGTATCATTTGGGTCAGTTTTCTCTTTTGGAATTGCAGGTTTTGGCTTTGGTTTTGATATTCCTGAAGTACTTGCTACTGGTTCCTGAATACAAAGGAAATTTGTATATTTAGAAAAGTTTTGTGTTGTTTTTGTTACCTTATATGCCTTCGTAACGAGTCTACGTTTTTTCCTGGGATTGTCTGCATCCTCAATATCGGATATTGGTTCGTCATCTTCGTCAATACTGAAATCTGAATCTACAACGTCCTCTCCTTCTTCTTCAGCTCTATAATTTCAATAATTAGTTTAAAAGGACTTAAATAGAAGCAATTTTTACTGATATTCGTTGTCCGATTCAGTATTTTCAAAACCCCCATAGTTTTCCTTGTAAAACTCATCAGGACAATCATCTTCTTCATCCAACAATTTCGACATTCGGTTGCCGGCATTGTAACGTTTTCCTCGATCCATTTTTTAATTAAAAATACACTAATACGAGATAATGTTTATTTTAAATAGAAATTAATTTAATTTTTCACAAATTTAAGCTTTTTGTTTATTTATTTTATTTAGCAGTGACATACAATGACAGTGACATTATTTTATTTTGCATCTTTGTCTTACCCAAGAAAAATGACAAGGACGGAAATAAAAGTATAGACAGATGAAGCATGTGGCTAACTTCACGATTGTTGTTTTTCGATACACCATAACCTCAATTTATGATTGTTTTTGTTCTTGGAGAGACTTGAATTTAGTATATGGAAATTTTAAATTTAACATCCACAGTTGTTGTAGACTTCTATTTTAAAAGGCTTTTCAGTAAGTAATTCGTTATTTATTTTTATGTGAAGTTTCATAGATATTAAGATTGTGTATATAGCTACAATTTAGTACTGAGGTAGCTACCTTATGATGTAGATTTCGGAAAACTTTTATAGGTCATAACTCTTTCTCTATTATTATTAGAAAGATGAAATTTTCAGCGATTGTTATCCCAGTAGAGGACTACAATCCCTGAAAATTTCAGCTCATTTGGACTTATTTTTTTTTTTAATCATTTATTTCTGACCTCAAATCAGTATACAAAGAATACTGGCACCGAGGCCTAGGATAGTAACTTTTACAGACAAAATAACAAAAAATAAATTCTACATGATAAAATGGAAAAAAATAACATTATTGAGCTAAATCATTTTGGCATAAGTTAAATTCTTATAAAATAGATATATCTGTTTAAGTCTGTCTTAAATAATTCTTAAGGTTATGGCACATTTTTGGAAGTTTTAAATCTATAATAGTCTTTGGTATCACATTTGTTGCTTGTATGTAGGGTTGCCAGGCGTCCTGGATTTCGCAGGATGTCCTGGATTCAGGGTCTAGCGTCCTGCGTCCTGCCGGAGTTGACTCCAAATGTCCTGCATTTCATAAAATCCTTATTCTTAAAATATAAAAAAAAAATACTTTTATTTCGGCTGAGCTATTTTATAATTTAACGCGAGGGGCGCGAAAATGCACTTGCGCGGTACATTACATGATGTAATGTTGTCTACAATATTTTTGATAAAGGACCCCGCACACTTCTGGGATTTCTGACCCCGGTCAAATTTAACTAAATTTTAGTATGTTATAGATCCCACCTTTCTGATCAATAACTACCATCGGCACAACTTAATCCTATGAGTACCTAGTTTCTGATACAGGTAGTTTATTGTCCAAGAAATGTAGGTATACATTTTATATGCATTTACATCCACCTGCCACCTGAGCATGAGGATACCTGTCCATCCTGGTATATTATTAGGCGACAGGTAGATGTAAATGCCTATAAAATGTGTACATTTCTTGGACATTGAACTACCTGTACCTATCTCAAAAACTAGTCATAGAATTAAGTTGTGCCAATGGTAGTTATTTATCAGAAAGGTGGAATCCATAACATACTAAAATATGGTTAAATTTGACCGCGGTCAGAAATCCCATAAGAAGTGTGCAGGATCCTTTAATATAAATATTAGGAAAACGTGAAACTAAGTAAGTAGGTAGGTACCTACGGAGATCGTATTTAATTTGATCCTTATTAGGTATTATTTAACATATTTTTGGGTATTATAAATATTATTTGAGGAAAATAAAAAAGTCCTGATTTTTTCATTACTGTCCTGCATTTTCTCAACACGTCCTGCAAATTCAATTTTTTAACCTGGCAACCCTACTTGTATGCTTCGATAAAGTGGAGAGTCTTGGCCTTTTTTTGTTCTGGCGTAGTTGTTTCTAAAAAAGTCCTTCGTTCGAGTATTATGTTCATGACAGTCTTTACCTTGCTTCAACTGATAATTGCTTTTAATAAGCTTGTTTTGGACACAATAAATAAGCTTGACTTGTTCAAAAATGTTTAGTTTCTCTATTGTTAAAAACGGATATTCTTTGTATATGGTTTCACTGGGTGTGCAATATTCCATAGAAAAAAGTGATTTTATAGCTTTATTTTGGACTCGTTGTAGGTTTGTTAAAAGGTATTTGCTTGCATTTCCCCAACAGGGTAAAAGATATCTAAAGTGAGGTTCTAAGAAACTGTTTTATAGCATATGTTTGGTTTTGTTGTTAAGCTGATGAGAACACCTTTTTATTAGTCCTATAATCGGCGCTACCTTTTTTATAATACTGTCTATATGTTCGTTCCAGGTTAATTTATTTGTTATTGTTAGTCCAAGATATTTATACTTTGTCACTTCTAGCAGCACTTTTTTATTTAGCTTCAGTACAGGATTGCATTTTTCTTTGCCTTTTTGATTGACGACCATATAAACTGTTTTGGTCACATTCACCGTTAGTCTATTATAGGCAGGGTTGGCATGATTTAAATCAAATGATTTAAATCACGATTTAAATCATGATTTAAATCAAGTGATTTTTTTGAAAAAAATCAATGATTTAAATCGATTTTCAGAAATTGAAAATCTATTTGTTTATTTTGATACATATACTTATATAAATGGAATAACCAAAGAGGATTTAGTGATTATTAAGAAATTTCTGACTGCAATACCATCCTCGGCTGGGGTAGAGAGAGTATATAGAGAATATTTTCAACATACATATTATAATCTGCGATAATGATTTGAGAAATCGACTTGGCAATGAAAAGCCCGCAAAGCTGGTATATTAAAAAATCGGAATATTTTTTTTTATATAAGTTTTTGTTTTCAGAAATTACCGTTTATTTAATATTTTGTTTGTTAAAACTATTTATTTATTAATAAACAATAATATTTTTATTACTCTATATATCTATTCTACCACTGCTTTTGTGGTGCTTATGTGCAGTGGTGCAGTCATTTTGTCTAGGAGTAGGTAAGTATACTATATTTACTGCATCATTCATTGTTGAAACTAAATAACCAATAATTGATCAAAAATTAATAAAGCCATTTAATTCAAAAAAATCCGATTTAAATCAAAAAATCTGATTTAAATAAAAAAAATCTGATTTTTTTGATTTTTTCAAAAAAATCATGATTTTTGCCAACCCTGATTATAGGACAACCATTTGAAGTAAAGGTCCAAATCCTCATTTAAGTCTATCTCCATTTGGTTCTTGTTATCAGCAGAAAGCACCAATACAGTGTCGTCAGCAAACATAAAATATTTTGACTTCATACCGACAAATTTAAGACTTTGCACATATATTAGGTACTGCAGAGGGCCCAATACGGAACCTTGCGCGACTCCAACCTTAAGAGTTTGTTCACTGCTGCACTTTCCATTTATAACAGTATAGTGTTTCCTGTTTGTTGAATAACTTGACAAGAGTTCATGACATATTCCACGGATGCCAAGTTTATGAAGCCTATCCAACATGTGGTCGATGTTCACAGTGTCAAATGCCTTTTGTAGATCCACAAACACCATAGCAACTTATCGATTTTTATCCACTTCACTTGAAACGTAGTCTAGCAGATCCGCTGTAGCTCCCAATGTGTTGCTGTTTTTTAAAAAGCCATATTGCATTTTATCAAAGTTGCATGTTGCAGTAATGAAGTCTATCATCCTTTTTTTAAGTATTTTTTCAAGTATCTTGGAGAAAGAACTCAAAAGTGAGATTGGTTGGTAGTTATTTAAGTCGTCATGTGCACCTTTCTTATAAATTGGTATAATTTTTGCTATTTTCAGTTCTTCAGGATATATCCGATTTTCCAGTACACAATTTATCATATCAACAATCTTCTCACCAACAATATGAAATAATGTTGTTATGTCTTTCTTTGTTATATTGTCAATACCTGGTGAGCAACTATTTTTCATGTCCCCTATAATGTTCTTAATTTCATTGATGTCAGTCGGTTTTAAAAATATACTTCTATTTACTTCTTCTTCCTTGAAATTTATTGTGTCAGGGTCTATGTATGATGCAAGTATTTCTCCTATACTACTAAAATGTTCATTGAACGCGTCGGCTATTTCTTCCTCCTTTGTAACAGTCTCCCCATTTTTCTTAACTTTGTTAATGGTTTTGTTTTTTTGGGTGCTTCTGTTGCACAGTTCATTTAAAACACTCCAAGTTTTTCTGTTATCAAATTGTGCTTCTTGAAATTGTTTTATAGTTCCAGAAATAAAATCGTGTCAATTTGGGGTGATTTATCAATAATTTTTCCTACGACTGCCTCTGAAAATGGAGTTTTTCGCACAGCGTGCGAAAAAGTTTTTCACACGCATTTTAGCGTGCGAAAAAGTTTTTCACACGCATTTTAGCGTGCGAAAAAGTTTTTCACACGCATTTTAGCGTGCGAAAAAGTTTTTCACACGCATTTTAAGTTTTCTAACAAATGAAAATTACATATTTGGTTGTTTTATTTTGCAGTTGTAGGAAAAGCATTGTAAAAAAACTTGTTTGAAAACCTTTTTTCACACTTGCTCGACTTGTGGAACTCGCCTACGGCTCGGTCCAACAAACTGTCTCGCCGTGCGAAAAAAGTCGTTTTCAAAACTTGTTGTTTAAATAACTATTTCTGAGTGCCTTTTTTTCCGAGGAGTTATTCACTAAAGGAAAAATGTGACAAGATTTCGGATTTAGAGCGATTTTGAGGGATTTAGAGCGATTTTGAGGGATTTCGGGTGATTTTGGTAGGATTTCGGAAATATTTCGAGGGATTATTCACTGTGACAAGATTTCAGATTTAGAGCGATTTTGAAGGATTTCGGTTGATTTCGAAGGATTTCAGGTGGTTTCGAAGGATTTTGGGTGATTTCAAAGGATTTCGGGTGATTTCGGAGAATTTCAGGTAATTTCACAAATATTTTAATTTGATTTTAGACTGTCACTTATCTTATGAGTATATTCGAAAGTGTATTAGTATAAACAGGAAAACGGCCGCGTTGACCGATTATGAATTTTGGGCCAATTGCGAGGGATTTTTTGGTCTGCGGAAAGATTTCGGTAGGATTTGGGGATTTCGGACGAATTTGTGACACGATTTCGGGGAGTGATTAACCTTTCGCTTTTTTCATACAATCCTGTTCCAAATCTCAGAATAATTTAGGGTCTAGAGCTTGGGCGAGCCCAAAAGACCATTAAGACACAAAATTTCAACAAAAAAAAGTTTGAAATTTCATCGTTTTAGTACAAAGCGAGGTACAAAGCTACCTTATGATTTAGATTATGGAAAACTTTGAAAGGTCATTACTTTTTTTCTATCATCATAGTTACAAAGCTAAAATTCTCAGTGATTCTTATCCCAATAGAGGACTACAATCGCTGAAAATTTCAGCTCATTTGGACTTATAGTTCCAGAAATAAAATCGTGTTAAGCGATTTGGGGTGATTTATCGATTTTTCAATTTTTCTGAGTGCCTTTTTCCATAGAATCTGACTCCAAATCTCAGAATAATTTAGTGTATGGAGTTTGGAGGATCCCAAATGAAATGACCATTAGGACACAAAATCTCAAAAAAAAAAAAAAAATTGAAATTTCATCGTTTCAGTAGTGAGGTAGCTACCTTATGATTTAGATTTTGGAAAACTTTGAAATGTCAAAACTTTTTCTCTATTGTAGTTAGAAAGCTGAAATTTTCAGCAATTCCTAAAACCCCCACCAATAAAAATTACTCAAATAATCAATTATTGCGTTTATATAAAAATACTACAACAATAAACTAATATTCCTCCTCGAATTCTTCCTTGTTTCTCTTGCAACAATTGACAAATTTGGCTTTGGTGTCTTCCAAACATTGATTGAAATCCTCATTCATTTCTTTCAGTTTCACTTTGATTTCTTCTCGCATCAAATTGAAACACATTGCCACTATACCCAAACCTGAATTCAAACTAATTGATTAATTGATAAAACTAAGCAAAAATATTACCTAAAAGTATGTATATAAAGTTTATAATTAATTTGGTTTGATTTCCATGATTTGATGCGTTGACGTCAGCTCCTGGAACTAAATCTCCAAAACCCACTTTGCCCAAGGAGGTTACACAAAAATAGGTGGAATCCAAAAAGTCCCATTGTTCCCATTCACTAAACATAATAGCGCCTAGAATTATTTACTTAGTAAATAATATGGCAAATTATTCCAAATAATACCTGTTAAAATATAAGCAAAAATAACCCATAAACAAGCTGTACTGGGTACTATAATTTTCCTTCTTGAATCGTCTTTTTCTGTGGAACATTCATAGATTCTTCTATAAATCCATTTGAAACTGCCTGCCAGAATTTGTCCCATATTCTATAAGTAATTTTTTAACATAAATACTAGAGAAAATAAATATGTGGAGCATATTTAAGAGGTTACTTACATCAGTAGAAACATATTTTGTCTATTCCAGGCTCTTGAGTTTTCTTTATTGAGAAAAATTTAAAAGGAGATGTTAATGTAAGAGCTGGGAATAGACAAAATTGTCATAAGATAATTGAGAAATTGAGAAAAGAAATTTCTAGGGAAATTAGAAAAAAATTGAGAAAAACTCCGGCTCTTGAATTTCGTAATTTGGGAAAAAAAGATTTAACAGCTAGAAATAGACAAAAATTGAGAGAGAGAAATCGAGGAATTGATAATTGGTTTTAACTCCAGGGTAAACGTGTCCAGTAGCAATGTTTACCTTGGTGTTATGCCTAATCTAGTAGTGACTTGCCATTGAGAAACCGCCCCTTAGAGAAATTTAGAAGAAAGCGAAAATTGAAGAGCCGGGAATAAACAAAAATTGAGACAGAGAAATCGAAAAATTGACAGAGGAAAGGGGAAGACAAGTAGACATATTTTTTTCTGTTCTTGGCTCTTGAATCTAATTTACTTATGTATTTGGAAAAAGACGCAAATTCAAGAGCCAGAAATATACAAAAATTGAAAGCGAGAGACATCGAGGAATTGATAGAGGAAATTCGAGAAAAAAGGGAAAGACAAGTAGACCGGGAATAGACAAAAATTCTGACAGAGAAATTGATACAGGAAATTTGAGAGAAAACGGGAAGACAAGTAGACATATATTTTTGCTGTTCCTGACTCTTGAATTTCGTTAAAAAAAAAAAATGAAAAAAGACGCAAATTGAAGAGCTGAGAATAGACAAAAATTGAGAATGATATTTGATAAAATGTAAAAAAAAATGGTAGACAAATTCAGAAAAATTTGAATGAATTCAAGATCCAAGACAAAAATAATTGTTTGATTCATATACGAACTTATTCCAACTTGAATATTTTACCTTAAAATACAAAACATACAAAGGTATACCAAACAAAGCATAAACCATAGTCAATATTTTGCCCTCTCTAGTCTTTGGTACCATATTACCATAACCAACCATGGTTATAATGCTGAGACAAAACATCAAAGCTGCTGGAAAAGTCCAAACTTTATCCATTGAGCGTTCATCATATCCTAAAACAACCCTCCCAGTTGAAGAAACACAATCAAAACCCTCTTACCATGTTTGAAAATTTTCGTAACATCATCCTGATGCAACTTTAAAACTTTATCAACATCTAATCTAAACTGTAAACGATCAAAAATGTTGTTTTTCATTACAGCATCAAAAAGCACCTTCAGAGTTTTGTTTCTTATTGCCTCAACTTCAAATACTTCTGTGTTGTTTGCACTGAGAACTGATAATTTTTTATTTCTGGGTTTGAGGAATTTAATAAACAGCGACAAAAATTACCTTTTCTCTACGTGCATAAACCCCACAGCCCCAATAACAGTATAACCGATAATTAAAGCGCCCACCCCCACTTGGGTGCACATAAAAGCTACGATTTTCCTGCAACAATCTTTTAGTTTTTCTTTGTGTTTTCTCCGGTATTTTCTCGGTACGTGTCCGTGCCTTGTAGGCGTCCTAGATCGAGATACACTTCTGGTTATTCTATCTTTAGAATTTTCCATGGTTTTAATTAATAATTATTTTTGGAACGCACTACACCACCGCAAACGCACTAGTGACTGAGGAAATCTATAACATTAAAAGGTTTTTCTCACTTTGGCGCTTCTAAAATAAATTCTGGATATATTTAGATTTTTTAAGGTATATGTATAGGACATAATTCATCGGCTAATTGAATTTCGTGATTTTGAACAATATTATACTTCAAAGCGTGGAGTTTTGTTTTAATGGCCTAGATTTTCTATGAATAGATTCAAGTAATTTAAATAAATACATTTGAATTACTCAATTTTACAGTTTTTTGGGACAGGAAATTAAAAGTATTTTTAGAAAACCAAGCAATGCAGAGTGGGATTCTAAATATCATGATATTATTTTCTATTTTTATAAAAAAACATTACAGTTTTTTGAACCATGGAAATTAGTGTAAAACTATATGAGCTTGGTTTACATAGTATCAATTCTAAATTAACTTTTCTACAACAAGGAAACTTCAATTCATAAATCCTGAAAGTTTCAAGTCACTGTGAACATTGGAAGTAAGTACTTTGCACAAGTGATTTTCGCAGGTTTTAATCATTTTTGCATGCATTAACATGGGAAAAAGCTTCCAAATTTAGTTTTGAGCTTCTAATCAACTTCAAATTAACTTCTCCACAAAAAGGAAACTTCAATTCATAAATCCTGAAAGTTTCAAGTCACTGTGAACATTGGAAGTATTTTGCATAAGTGATTTTTGCATGCATTAACATGGGAAAAAGCTTCTAAATTTAATTTGGAGCTTCAAATTAACTTTTCCACAAAAAGTAAATTTCATTTCATAAATGCTAAAAGTTTCAACTCGCTTTGATCATTAGAAGTACTTTGCACAAGTGATTTTCGCAGGTTTTAATCATTTTTGCATGCATTACCATGGGGAAAAGCTTCTAAATTTAGTTTGGAGCTTCATATTAACTTTTCCACAAGGAGGAAACTTCGATTCATGAATCCTGAAAGTTTCAAGTCACTGTGATTATTGGAAGTATTTTACACAAGTTATTTTTGCAGGTTTTAATCATTTTTGTATGCATTAACGTGAGACAAAGCTTCCAAATTTAGTTTGAAGCTTCAAATCAACTTCAAATTAATTTTTCCACAAAGAGGAAACTTCAATTCATAAATCCTGAAAGTTTCAAGTCACTGTGATCGATCATTGAAAGTATTTTGCAGATTTTAATCATTTTTGCATGCAAAAAGCTTCTAAATTTGATTTGAAGCTTCAAAACATTTTCATAAAACTGCAAAATCGAAAATGTAGTATGTAGTTAGCAACAGCCAAAGTTAATTATTATTGTATCTGTAATGTATATTCTTCTTTTCAAGCAACTACTTCTAAAATTATCTCTATGGCATTAAAAAATCCCATAAGACTTCCAGACATTGCCGGATATGAAGAAAGAAAAAATGACATTGTTTATAGCAAACCCTTGGTTGATTCCGCTGTAGCAAAAGTGGTAATTTTTTTTCCTGGAGACGTACAAGTAAGCTTCAAATATATTTAATTTAAAATTAAATTAGCCTTGTATAATGTAGGATTACATAGAAAACATGGAAGCTCACAGAGACAACAAACATCACAAACAATGGAATTTAGAAGGCACTGCTAGCATATTGCAAAAGAAATTTCCTGAAAATCATATTTTGGTTGTCAAACCATCCAGGTAAAGAAAATCTTGTAGGTGAACCTGTTTTTTGTATTATAATTTCAATTGTAGCAGTTTTTCTTTGTTTCAGAATGGACTTTAAAACTTTTAGTTGCTTCCAGAATTTTGTACAAAGCAGTCAGCTTGGTATACCCGAACACATACCTAATTTTAATTCCTTAAACCACTTGGAAGCTTTATTAAAAAATATATCTGAAAGGATACAACAACCAACTGTAAATTAATATACATATTATTATTGTAATGTTAAAATCTCTAAAAAAAAAATATTTCTAGGCCTTAGACAAATTGGATAGAGAAATTGTAGGTTTCAGTAAAGGTTGCGTTGTATTAAATCAATTTGTCCACGAATTCCATTATAGTATTATAAACAAAGACCAAGGAATATTAAATATAATCAAAAAAATTAAATCAATGTATTGGCTGGATGGTGGACATTCTGGTGGTAAAAATACTTGGATTGTGCAACAAGATGTTTTGACTAGTTTATGTTCTTTAGGTAAAAATTGTATTCAACTACAACCCTGTAGAATCTTATTTATTTATATATTTTTCAAGATATTAATATAAATATTCATGTGACGCCATACCAAATCCAAGACGACCGAAGGCCCTGGATCAAAAAAGAAGAAAAAACGTTTTCAGATTTCCTACAAAAACACAGCAGCAAAATAACAAGATTGGTCCACTTTGAAGCGATCCCACCAAGCATAATAACCCACTTTGATGTAATTAACAGCTTCAAAAAATAAACCAATAATTTATTAAGAAAAGATCCATTTAATGTTAACTATTTTATAATACAAAAAAATATTCACAGCAAAGGCTTATGAATTGTACATTATTTTCAATTAACTTCCCTAAATTGAAAAAAAAAATGAGGTACTCTATTCCTATAATACAAAAAAAATAAATCATACTTGTTAACATTGTTGCCAATAATAATTCCCAACGAAAAAAAATCTGTGCGGGGCCCACAAATATCCTCATCAATATCTTTCCCTTCTGTATCTATCTCCGCGTTCTCTGCTCCTATCCCTACCATGATGACTATACTTATTTCTGTTGGGACTTCTGCTTCTATCCCCATATTTAGGGTCTCGCCTTTCAACCCCGCGGTTTCTGAAATTTGTATTTTTATATATAGGATTTTATTTATTTATAATTTTACCTGTCCCTTCTAGTATCCACCCTCCTATCGCGATCATCCCTTAAAAAATCACGTCTCAAATCGTCACGTACTGGACCTGGACGTGGTTCTCTTTCAACCCTGTTATCAAATCTTCTATCTTCTCTTGCTCTTTCTTGAGCTACTTGCACAGCTTGAGGAGGGAATTTTTGCTAAAAATACACTTGTATTATTGCCCAATAATAATAATAATCAATTATTTTACTTCTAAAAATCTTTGAATCTTCTGTTGCATTGGCACAGGTATTCTGGGAAATAATGTAGAAAACCATTCCAATTTAACCAGCCATTGTCTAAGGATTTGGCCCATTGTCATTACCTGACCCCCTCCTGCTTTCACATCCATTTCCTGTAACTCATTGTTTAATTAAATACAAAAATAATGGTAATTAATTAATCATTTTACTGCTGAAAAATAAATATATAAAATAGGCACCACTCTACCTGATGTACGCACCTCATCATCTTCTAAATAATCTTCGTACCATTCAAGTAACAAGTTAGGTGGCAGGACGTACCTTATATACATAAATCCTAATGCCCTAAAATTAATATTTTTATTAAAACCAAGTTGATTTGTTTCAAATACAATTCTTGCCTGATATATGGAGAATCGCAATGAGTAATAAGCCCATTTAATTGTTTCTTAGTAAGTTTCAAAGTGAAAAGTTTGTATAGCAAACAATAGGCAGTGGAAACGATTCCTCCAGCTCCCACACCTCTGACACCTCCGCACATGCCAGTTTGGCCCGATGTTCTTCTAGATCCTTTTTCCCATGGTTCCAAGTGGCTGACTTTATAGTAAATTTCGTCCACTACTTCGTGGTAGGTTTTCAATTCGTACAAATTGACTTTGAAATAGTGCGAACTTTGTATGTTGGTCAGTATCAGGGGGTTTAGATTCATTGTTCTTTCGTTGCCGTAGATTGGCAGTAGGTTGCTGACTTTTTTTGAGACTGTTCCATCTGAAAGAATTTTTCGATATCATTCACAATTTTCTTAGGTCAGCAAAATTGTATGAAGAATTTGTAAAATTGTCATCATGTTTACTCAAAATCAGTGCAGTAGGAATAAAGTGTAAAGTTGCGAATCAGTCTGATAATTTCCCAGTTTCTCTGTAATTGGGTAAATTATATGAAAATCGTTGTTGAAGTTGTCTAGTGATGGGAGTACTTAATAGAAATCAAAAATTCCCTTAAAATACCAGGTTTAAAAAAAAATATATAAATAAAGTTTCAGAATTTTGCAAGATCCTTGGGAATGTTATAACATTTCAAGATTTTTAGAAATTCCAGAAGACTTGATGAGATTCTGGGTATTTAAAGTGATTTTTAGGAATTCCAATAAGTGTTTCACGATTTCAGGAAGTTTTTTCCTGAATTTTGGAAGATTTTCTTGCTAGGTATTTAAAGTTTGACAGAATTTTATGATCACCCACTATTTCAGAGGGTTGGCTGTATTTGTTCTGTTTAGTTTTAATTATGAATGACTTTGTTAATTGTAGGGAAACTTTTCAGTAATTCTTTAAATGAACAGGTAAATGTCTAGAATTTCTCATGCTGTCATTTTTCCCAGAATCAATATAAAGTTTCCATATGATGAGCTCCTTTTCTTCTGCTTTCACCCAAAAAATCGCATGAAAATTAACGGAGCTGTAAAGCAAAAACCGTCCCAGTAATTTTTGGAAAATGTTCAATATTCCATAAATTCAATTTTGAAGCTACTCAGGTGCAAACCTGTTGGAACTAAATTGAAATCGTAATCAACAGGATTGTAGAGAATTTAATTGGCTTTAATTAAAGCCTAATTACATTGAAGTTGGATAATAATTAACGGAGCTGTGAGCCAAAAACTGTATCAGTTTAATTTTTGGAAAATTTTCAATGTTCGATAATTTCAATTTTGAAGCTTCTCAGGTGTAAAACTGTTGAAACCAAATTGAAATCTAAATTAATAGGTTTGTAGAGAATTTAAATGGCTTTAATTAGAGTTTAATTACATTGAAGTTGGATGAAAATTAATTAACAGAGCTATGAGGCAAAAACTGTTGAAAATATTGAATTTTCTTTAGTTAATTGAACACAAAAACATAAAAACTATTACAATAACCAAGACAATAACCCACAAAAACCCAATTGAAATTTTCAAAAACCTAGATTTTTGGCAATCCTGTTTTCAACATCAATGTTTTCTCATTTTGCCTTAAATTTTCTGTTCATTTCTCAATTTCTCTTTGTCAAGTTTTGTCTATTCCTGGCTATAGTTTGTTTCTGAATCTCTTTAAATCAAGAAAATTCAGAAAAATAGACAAAAAATGAGAGCCTGGAATAGAAAAACTATGATTTATTCTTCTTTGTCTCAACAGTTTTTTTACTTGAAATTTCTTCTTTACTTATTTCTCAATTTCTCCTTCTCAAGTTTTGTCTGTTTCTGGCCTGTGAATTCAAGTTTTTTTTTCTTTCTTAAACTCTTTAAATGAAGAAAGTTCAAACAGACAAAATGTGAGAGCTTGGAATAGAAAATCTATGACTATACTTACTGGTCTCACCAGGCAAATTTAAACACTACACCTTTTCCAATTGTATTTCAGAAGGTGTCAAATGTATTTCAAAATAGTCAAATGTAGTTGAGAAAGCGTCAAATGTATTTCAGAATAGTTAAATGTATTTCAGAAAGCGTCAAATGTATTTCAGAATAGTTAAATGTATTTCAGAAAGCGTCAAATGTATTTCAGAATAGTTAAATGTATTTCAGAAAGCGTCAAATGTATTTCAGAATAGTTAAATGTATTTCAGAATAGTTAAATGTATTTCAGAAAGTGTTAAATGAATTTCAGAATAGTTAAATGCTACTATTAAGCTCCTGTTGGGTCAGTCGAGCTCACGTAGGAAGAACTACACAGACATAGGTAGGTAATTTTTTGTGTCGCCTCCCTCCTGAATTATTTTCGCCAAATTTTCACTTTTTGAAATGCTTTTGGCTATTCTGAAATACATTTTACGCTTTCTGAAATACATTTAACTATTCTGAAATACATTTCACGCTTTCTGAAATATATTTGGCTATTCTGAAATACATTTAACAGTTTCTGAAATACATTTGACAGCTTCTGAAATACAATTGGAAAAGGTGTAGACTAGAAAACACCTGAAAAAAACATCAATTTCTGAGTAAGTTAGAACAAAATTAAAGAACCATTCTGGTTCAAATTTGGTAACAAAAATCCGAACTAAAATCTCTCATAAATCTTATGGACTCTGAACCTCGCTCATAACAGAGCAGTCCAATTCAAACACTACTACTAGGACACTTTTGAGAAAACCCCAATTTTTTAGCAAGTTAAAGACCCACTTTGGCTGAAATTTTGTAAATAAAATACTTATATCATGAATGAATACCAAGTACAGAATATTCATAGAAAACTTAAATTTCTGAGCCAGATAGCAAGAATAAATACTATCCAATCTCATATACTCTGTACTCTAAACAGAGTAGTAGTATATGTTAAACACTACCAAAAAGATTTCTGAGAAAACACCAACTTCTGAGCAATATAGAACAGAATAAAATACCTAAATTGGCTTAAATTTTGTAGAATGTCTCATAAATCCCATGTTCTCTCTGTAAAGAGCAGTCCAATTCAAACACTACAGTACTCCACAAGGTACTCCATTTGCTATAAAAATCTTGAATGCAAAATTCAAGAGCCGGGAATAAATAAAAATTGAAAATTGAAACCAAACAAAAAATAATAAGAAACAAATTAATGAAAAGTTTGAAACAAATTAATTTACTATGCATTTTGCGTAGAATAAACTTGAGAAAGGAGTTATTTACTTAATGTTTTTCGTATCCAGTGGTTGCTTCTCTTTCACTCATTTAAATTTCATGGTTTTTATCTTTCCCTATCTCATGTACTCCATTTGCCCAAAAAATCTTGAAAACAAAATTGAAACCAAAGAAAGAATAATAAGAAACAAGCAAGGAAAAATTGTTGAGGAGAAGACCTTGGGAGACTTGTGTTCTAGCTGTGCACTTGTGTGTGAAAAATTAGGGAGATCTAGCGAAATCTTGGTAGATTTAAGGAAACCTAAAGAAATCTTAAGAGGATCCTGGGTAATTTGAGGAAATCTGTGGACATCTTTTGTATAAAGATATATTTTGTACACTTGAATATGTTGTTGTGACTAACCTAACTCCTTGCTCTGGATAGAAGAGTAAGTAAATAATTCAATTTAAACACTAGGTATTACTATATGGATAGAAATAAATAAACAATTGAAATCTCTTATGAATCTAATGTACTCTGAATGGAGTAGTCTGATTTGAACATTATTAGTTGTATTCCTTCCACACCTAGGAGGAGCTCCGGAACAGCTCCAGGGCGTTACATGCTTATTCCTTTTGAAAAGTGTTTGTTGCACCTGAACTGCTCAAGCCCGAATCAATGCACGAAAGCCAGCGCATCTGTTCCTTTCAAATCAGAGGCCGGATTCTATTTTACGAGTCGAGTCGAAATTCGAATGAAATTGTCAGAATTAAAACAACTGGTAATACAAAAAAAGATGGCTCACAAATTGTACAAAAACTCAGGAGATAGGATCCATTATTTAAATTTCAGTAGGCTTAGAACAGAATGTAAAACCTTAACCCAAACTTGTTACATTCAATATTTTGAAAAATCCCAGCTAAGTTTAACTGATAATCGAAATATTAAGCAGTTTTAGAATTTTGTAAAAAGTAAAAGAAGTGGAAACGAGCTTCCACCCCTAATGTTTTTTAAAGATAACCAGTGTCAACTTGGACCTGATCTTTTTGCCGAATATTTCCAATCTGTCTACACTAAGAAATCGGTTGCTAAGCAAAATGTTGCCTCATTCAATCATATCTGTTTATCTGACTATAGAATACCCATATCAACTATTTATGAGGAAATGACTAAGATCGACATAAGTAAGGGCCCTGGGCCTGATGGTATTCCGCCCGTGGTTTTGAAAACTTGTAGCTTTTCTCTGGCTTGTCCATTTTTCATCATTTTCAATAAATCACTTTCCTCGGGCATATTTCCAGACTTCTGGAAGTTAAGCTACCTTAAACCCATTTTTAAAACAGGAAATAAAGCAGATATCTGCAACTATAGACCTATATGTAGCCTAAGCTGTATTCCGAAACTTTTTGAAAAAATTGTTGCTGATTATTTAAGATCTGTATTGAATTTGACTATTATTGATGAACAGTTTGGCTTTTACAACAAAAGATCCACAGAATTGAACTTAATTTCCTTTGCTGATTTCCTGTCGGACGTCTTGGATGAGGGAGGGGAGATTCACGCTATCTACAACTGACTTTTTCGACCGGGTCAATCATGAGATATTACTTGGAAAACTGAAGGCGGCCGGTCTTCAAGGGTCCTTGTTGGAATCACTAGCAACCTACCTCACAGATAGATATCAAGCTGTCAAACTAAATAATTTCACCTCTAAAAATTTTCCCAACCCCTCTGGAGTCCCGCAGGGGTCCCATTTGGGACCTCTATTGTTTATATTATTTGTTAATGACATCGCAAAATGTTTCAAATTTTCTAAATTTTTATCTTTTGCTGACGACTTGAAGTGCTATATTTCCATTTCATTATTGGATGATTGTCAGAAACTTCAGTCTGATCTGGATAGATTAGCTGAATGGTGTGACCTAAATGCGATGGATTTAAATATCTCAAAGTGTAACTATATATGCTTTACCAAAACTCAATTTAACTATAGCATAAAGGGCTCACTCTTATCCCAAGTTTCAACCATTCGTGACCTGGGAGTAACTATGGATTCGGCACTATCATTTGTCAATCATATTGATACCATAGTTTCAAGAGCACTTAGTATGCTCGGGTTCATCAAAAGAACTACATCTAATTTTACAAGTACTTCTGCCATTAGACTTTTGTATTGTAGCCTAGTAAGGCCTTTACTAGAATACTGTTCAACTGTGTGGAACCCCCATTACGCATCCCATATACACAGGATTGAGCAAGTTCAAAGGAAATTTCTCAGGTACTTGGCTTATAAATCAAATATTCCTTCCCGCGATGATTACAGCTATGATTTTTGACTCTTACTCATAAAACTGTTTTATGTGAACGGCCTGATTACTTGTTAAGTAAACTAGTCCGTAACTCGGATATTCATTCGCTTAATACTCGCCACAGAGGGTTGTTTAGTGTTCCCACTCATGCTACAGCATTGTTTCAGCGCTGCTTCACCTATAATGCCGTTAGGCTTTACAACAGCCTCCCCCCTCACCTTAGAGCCATAACAAGTCTTGTTTCGTTCAGGACAAAAATCAAACAACATTTAATGGACAGAAGGGACCGAATATTGAATTGAACATAGATGATTTTATTTTTATTTTTATTTTTATTTTTATTTTTATTTGTATTTCAATTTCAATTTCAATTTCAATTTCAATTTCAATTTCTATTTTTATATTTATATTTATATTTATATTCATATTTATATTTATATTTATATTTATATTTATTTTTATTTTTATTTTTATTTGTATTTCAATTTCAATTTCAATTTCTATTTCTATTTATATTTATATTTATATTTATTTTTATTTTTATGTATTGCTCATTTTTTAGGAGGTTGTATATGAGCAACCCTGTTGGATACCGCCTCCTGCTTAAAATTGTTTTGTTTTATAATTAGGTATTACCTGCATAAATAAAGACATTTTATTATTATTATTATTATTATTATTTTAAAATGCTTCAAGAGAGATTTGCGCTTCCAACATTGAAGGTTAGAAGAGATCAGGCAGATCTCAAACTATTCTTTAAGCTTATGAACTATATGGTTGACTGTCCTCTTTCAATCTCATCGGTGGTTCTTTCGGTTCCACCTAGAAATACTAGATCAACAAACATATTCCAGCAGCCCTTCTGGCGAACTAATGTTGGATCCGAGGTTGGATCTAATTCTTTCATGCCATATATGGCAAAAATGGCTAATTCTCATTCTGGCAGCATCGATTTTTTCCATTCCAGCTTTAGTACTTTTGTGAGCTATTTGAAACATATTTAAGTTAAAAGATTTTTTTGTTTTTTTTTCTCTCTTTCTATTCTTTAATCTTTGATTTCATATATATGTTATGAGGCTTAAATATAAATATATTTATTCCATGTTATGTTTAATCCCGTGTTTAATATGTTTAATAGGTAATGATAAAAATATATCTTAATTTCTGTTTTGGTTTTTAGTTATAATGTAGGTACTTAGTTTCATCAGATCAAGTAATTTGAGTTTCTAGTTTATTTAGGTTAATTTTGTTAAAATTTGTTAAATTTTTGTACTAAAAGTGGGTAAGGCCCGTTAATAAATAAATAAATACTTAAATAAATAAATAAATTCTATTTTTCGATTTTTCCATATGTATTACATGGTACGTCTGGAGCTGTCGTATTCGATATCGAGCCAATTCGACTCGACTCGTAAAATAGAATCCGGGGGCTGGGTCGACTAGCACAGAGGCAGGTAGCTCTAGTGTTGTAAGCTCTTGAAAGGAATACACTTGGGAATACAACTATTATTATAGTGAAATCCATTGGTAAGTTCAGAACGCACTGAGTATATTCGTGTCCTCTTCTACTGGCATGTAAAAGAAAGTGACGGAAATACATGTTTCTTGCACTTATTTTACTAATGGTTTTCGCCATTAGAAAACATCAATTTCTGAGCAAGATAGAAAAAAAAAACTTCCTATTCTGACTTAAAGAGATAGACGAGGAAAAAGAATAAACACTATCCTCGACACTATCCACTCTGGCCTAAATTTTGTAACGTAAATATTTTATTAATCGCATGTACTCTGTATTCTGAACAGAGTAGTACATGTTAAACACTATATTAAAAACCAAGCTAAAAACATTTCTGAGAAAACACCAATTTCTGAGCAAAATAGCACAATATGAACTACATTGGCTTACATTTTGTAGAATATTTTATAAATCCCATGTACTCTGTACAAAACAGTCCAATTCAAAAACTGCTACGCTACAAGAACATTTGTGAGAAAACACCACTGAAAACACAAATTTCTGAGCAAATTTCTTATGAATCTCATGCACTCTGAACAGAGTAATCCAATTTAATCACTATTACTACTTCTGAGCAAGATAGGAAATAATAAATAATATAATTATGGTCTACATACATACCTTCATCTCCACTACCACTGCTCGGGTCCATTTTTTACTTTTTGAACGAAAACACTTTCCTAAAGGTGAATTTAATGAGGGCTTTCTTTATAGCCCTTCAACTGAGTTAAATAAATGATAATTAACAAGAAAATTGTCCAAATTCTCAATTATTTTTCCACAACAGCACAAGTAAACCAAAAAAAAGACATTTTGACAACCCATCAGTAAACAGTTAACTGTCAATGTCAGCATCAGCAGTGTCACATTTGTGCGGGAAATTTGAAATTTGACTAACTAAAAATGTAATTTTTGGCTTTTCTCTTATTTATTACTAATTCTAATGGTATTATATAAATAAATATTTATTATTGAAACGCTTAAATTATAAATAATTATTGTTAATGCCCTATAATAATTAATTATAATTTTTTTATTTTTTGAAATCCTTGCCAGTAGTGTCAGAGAGGGCGCTGACGTCACTTTTGCGTTATGTTTTTTATTATATGGATGATTGAGGGGTGCTTGTGAGTTGAGGAAGTTTGGAAAATTGTATTTTTCCTGTAAAATTAGCCAAGTTTCCCGTTTAGCAACTAACAAAACGGAAAATCCAATGCTTAGAGCTGAAAATGGCTGACGAACAGGTAAGCCTTACCTTGTAAGAAGCCGGCTTGGAAGCAAGTGTGTTTTTCCACTTACAAATTGGAAATTTTCATGTTTTGGGTTTATATTTGTATTTGATTGTGTAAATGATTAGTTGTATATTGTATGTACAAATTTTTAGAGCCCTAGCTATGACTCAAGTGTGATAAATAAATAGATTAAAATGGTTATGTTTATCAATGTTAAAAGTCATTCTCGTTGTCATAATTATTATTATTTTGTATATTATTTTGCATTGGTATTAGGTAACGTTTTGTATTCTTATTTATAACTCACTTTGCAAGCCCTGATTTATATCAATTTGCACATACATTTAAATTGATATTATTGTTATAATTAGCTTATCATTAATTGGGTAATTATATAGCATTGAAAGCAAAATATTCAAGCTATAAGTATAGTATATTATTTATAGTTATTGGTACATATTTTAAAATAATCAAATCTTCCTGGAGTAATTTTGATGTAAATATACCTACAACATTGAGACTATTGAAAGCTTGAGAATCAAACTTGTGATTGGTCTTCTTGAACTACCTACTAATATTCCTCGAAATTTTGGGAAAATATCTTCAATGATAAGTAAAGGATAAACCACAATCTTTTATTAATAATATACCTATATGTATGTATTTTTAACAAAATCAAAAGTAAAATATAATTTACAATAGTAGGTACTTACCTATCACCAAGCCTACCACCCTTTCTTGTGTTTTGCATTAGGGAAAAATCACCCATTCAATATCAGAAAATGGAGAAAAAAGTAAAAAATAGGAACATATTTACTCACCTATTGAACCTTAGTTGAAACTTTGAATATAACTGGCTCTTGATCTTTGGATAATTTTCCTCAATGCAATCAAGAGTAATTGAAGATCAAAATTTGGTCTATCATTGGTTCTTGAATGTTTCTGGAAGGGAATCAAGCGAGGAATCAAGAGCCTATAGGTGAAGCTTTGATTTTATCATTGGCAAATGGTACCTACAACTTGGACAGGTTGTTCAATTCATGATTTTGGTTTGTTATTTTTCAAGTTTGGATTTTTTTTTAAACCAAGTTTTTATTGGGAATTTTGAAGACGTCTATAAACCTAGCAGTCCCAAGGTGGAAAAAAACTTCGGGAACTATATAATAATTAGGTGCTTTTTAGGTGCTAATTAGGGCCTCTAATCAAAAATTAGGTGCTCCTTTAGTTTCTGAGAAAATCAAAAAAAACTAAGGGACTGCTAGGTTTATAAAAGCTAGCTGTCCCCTATAATAAGAAATATTTTTTCAAGTTTTTTCTTTGTATCAGAATTAGGTGATAGAATTGATTAATTATCAACTGAGTTACAGATTTTTTTTTAATTATTAGGGGACTGCTGGCTTTACGTTTACATGTTGGTGTGTCAGAATGACGAAAAAACTTCGAGATCTATATAATAATTAGGTGCTTTTTAGGTGCTAATTAGGGCCTCTAATTAAAAATTAGGTGCTCCTCTAGTTTTTGAGAAAATCAAAAAAAACTAAGGGATTGCTAGGTTTATGAAAGCTAGTAGTCCCCTATAGTGAAAAATATTTTTCCAAAAATTTCTTTTGTCTCAGAATTAGGTGCTTTTTAGGTGCTCCTAAATAGTCGAAGTAAAAATAGAATTGATTAATTATAAACTGAGTTACAGATTTTTTTTTAATTATTAGGAGACTGGCTTTACGTTTACTTGTTGGTGTGTCAGAATGGCAAAAAAACTTCGGGATCTATTTCTATTTTTTTCTACAACTGTCAAAAAATGATGATGTTCACACACTCATGACAGTTTGCAAAGTGACACTATAGGGGACTACTAGCTTTCATAAATCTAGCAATCCCTTAGTTTTTTTTTTGATTTTCTCAAAAACTAGAAGAGCACCTAATTTTTAATAATAGGCCCTAATTAGCACCTAAAAAGCACCTAATTATTATATAGATCTCGGAGTTTTTTTGCCATTCTGACACACCAACAAGTAAACGTAAAGTCAGCAGTCCCCTTATAATTAAAAAAAAATCTGTAACTCAGTTAATAATTAATCAATTCTATTTTTTCTTCGACTATTTAGGAGCACCTAAAAAGCACCTAATTCTGATACAGAAGAAAATTTTGGAAAAATATTTTTTACTATAGGGGACTACTAGCTTTCATAAACCTAGCAATCCCTTAGTTTTTTTTTGATTTTCTCAAAAACTAGAAGAGCACCTAATTTTTAATAATAGGCCCTAATTAGCACCTAAAAAGCACCTAATTATTATATAGATCTCGAAGTTTTTTCGCCATTCTGACACACCAACATGTAAACGTAAAGCCAGCAGTCCCCTAATAATTAAAAAAAAATCTGTAACTCAGTTAATAATTAATCAATTCTATTTTTTCTTCGACTATTTAGGAGCACCTAAAAAGCACCTAATTCTGATACAGAGGAAAATTTTGGAAAAATATTTTTTACTATAGGGGACTACTAGCTTTAATAAACCTAGCAATCCCTTAGTTTTTTTTTGATTTTCTCAAAAACTAGAGGAGTACCTAATTTTTAATTAGAGGCCCTATTAGCACCTAAAAAGCACCTAATTATTATATAGATCTCGAAGTTTTTTCGCCATTCTGACACACCAACATGTAAACGTAAAGCCAGCAGTCCCCTAATAATTAAAAAAAAATCTGTAACTCAGTTAATAATTAATCAATTCTATTTTTTCTTCGACTATTTAGGAGCACCTAAAAAGCACCTAATTCTGATACAGAGGAAAATTTTGGAAAAATATTTTTTACTATAGGGGACTACTAGCTTTAATAAACCTAGCAATCCCTTAGTTTTTTTTTGATTTTCTCAAAAACTAGAGGAGTACCTAATTTTTAATTAGAGGCCCTATTAGCACCTAAAAAGCACCTAATTATTATATAGATCTCGAAGTTTTTTCGCCATTCTGACACACCAACATGTAAACGTAAAGCCAGCAGTCCCCTAATAATTAAAAAAAAATCTGTAACTCAGTTAATAATTAATCAATTCTATTTTTTCTTCGACTATTTAGGAGCACCTAATAAGCACCTAATTCTGATACAAAGAAAAAATTTGAAAAAATATTTTTTACTATAGGGGACTGCTAGCTTTTATAAACCTAGCAGTCCCTTAGTTTTTTTTTATTTTCTCAGAAACTAAAGGAGCACCTAATTTTTGATTAGAGGCCCTAATTAGCACCTAAAAAGCACCTAATTATTATATAGTTTCCGAAGTTTTTTTTCACCTTGGGGCTGCTAGGTTTATAGACCTATTTTGAAGGGTTTGTTGAAGAAAGTTTATTATTGTTTGAAAAACCAAGTGTTTAGGATCTTTCCTTCAAATTACATGCTTGAAACTAATCAGAGATTTTGGGAATAACCAGGTGTTTATTGTAGAGAATTTAAGGTGAAAGACAGTAATATTTCTAGGGTTGGCAAACAATTTTGTCTACTCTTTGGTTTTTGGATGAATTTTTGATGGATATTTTCATGTAAATTAACACAAATATCCACAGAAAAATCCTACTAGAATATTGTACCGAGTATTGTACCTACATACAAAAGGAAAAAACCCAAACATTTTTTTATTGACAAATACAAACTCTTCACAAAAAAAAAAACAAATTCAAATATAAAACCGTTTTTCAAACATACTTCTTTTACAAAGAGAAAATTAAAATAAAATTCTGGAACCCATAACTACTCTTGAGACGCTGGAATTTTCTAAAAGCTATGAGAAATTTTTCAAATAGTCTCAAGCATTCTTTGATACTTCTAATAGAAATTCTAACGTCTGAAAGTGTTTTAAAGTGTTCTAATACTATTTCATGGATGTTTTAACTTAGATCCAAAGTGTTATGTTCTTGATTGTTTCCAAAAGTTCCATATGATTTATGAAGTTGGAGAGTTCCTGAAAATTTTAATTTGCATCTGAATCTAAACTTTAAAGTATTTCAGGCTTTCTCAAATTTTCCTGAAACTTTGGAAGTGTTCTGGTCTGTTCTAGAGTGTTTCTGAATAAAAAAACTTTCATCTGCATGTTATGCAGTAAGAATTGTATCAAACAACTTGGGTCATTCCATTGCGAAAAATGTGTAGTACCACTTGATAGAGTCTAACATCAGATATGGTATTCCCTTTTGTGCTCAGTGTCATATCCACTCTGTTTTTGTATTACAAAGATACTTGGGTGGAGTGAAACCTCAAGAGCATTGCAGACCTCTTTTTATTAAGGAACAATTACTGACTTTCTTTTGCATTTTTATATTGGAAAGGGTGACAATGATAAACAAAAGGCATAGAATTTCACCTTATTTGTGTAATCAATATGGTCGAAATGAAGGATCTCTAAGATTACCAATACCAAAGAGTACTCTCACTAAACAATCTGTGATAAATGAGAGCCTTAAAATTTACAATCGCCTACCATTGTCATATAGAAGTATGGAGAATACTAAGAAATTCAGATAGAAGGTGAAATTGTTATTGCAGGGTAAAGCATATTATCAGTACTTCTCGGAGTACTTTGATGATAATATTACTGGAGTTGGAGTGCTGTGCAGCTGTAGTAATGATCTAGCCTGATGACAGTGTTTTTTCTTGTGTTTTTTTTTTACTCATTTTCCATTCTGCTTTGTTTTTTATAGTTTCATTTATGTCTTTATGTTGTTTGTAATTGTATGAACCTTTGTTTTTGTGATTTTATTAACTAAGTATTTTTTAAGTATCATAGATGTCCGCTTTGTAAATGAGAATTTTATTCTTTCTACAATGAAGCATATTGATTACTTAATTGAATGATTGATTGAGTTGCTTTAGGAAGTTTCCAAGGTTTGTTGTAGTGAAGTGAAAAACAGTAAACTTTCAAGCGTATTGAGATACCTATTTATATAAATCATGTAACTCAACTAATTCTTACAATATCAACTTAAAGCTTAAAGTATTTCAAGTATGTACTATGTAAAACCCCAATCGTATAAACATTTTAGGCACAGTACCTCAAATACTCACGTTGTACTCTCTCTAACTGATTAATGTGAATATTGTAGCAAAGTGACCAAACTTGGGATGCATATTCCAGCGTAGATAGATAAGCACATTATTAGCGTTTTCTTTAAAAATCCCAATGTTTTCAATGCTTTTTTAGTTATATAATCTATGTGGTCGGTAAATGTCAGTTCTTGATCAAAAATGACTCCTAAATCCTTTATAGTATTTACTTTTTTCAATGACACATAGTTAGCCCTGTATTCAAAATTTATCAAATGTTGAGTTGCATGCCATTTATTTGACACCACAATACCAAGCCATCTATATCTTTTTGAATCTTTTGACAATCTTCTACTGATGTAATATTTTTGAAAAATTTCCAGTCATCCGCATAAGAAGGAGACTCTGAGTATTTAATATATTCTTCTATATCATTAATAAAAATATTGAATAATAATGGAGACAAATGGCTTCCTTGTGGAACACCAGATGTAACTAAATTTTTCCTGGAGCAAACATTTTTCAGTTTAACAATCTGATGTCTATTACAAAGATAATCCTCCATCCTCTAAGCTTATTGATTAAGTTACCATGAATGCCTTTCTAAAATCGGTATAAACGGGATCAACCTGCTGATATGATTCTAAAGACTCAACCAAAAACTCCTCATAAACTAGTAAATTGGAAACTGTAAATCTATTTTTCATAAAACTATGTTGTTTTTCCATGATCATTCCATTCAAATGATGAATTTTGATTTACAATCAATTCGAAAATCTTTGAAACTAAAGAGAATTTAGAAATAGGTCTATAGTTTACAATGCCCCATTTTTAAATAAAGATGTAATTAATCTATATTACTTTCCAAAATGCCGGAAATATACCCAAGGATAAGAACCTATCAAAAATTAAACATAGAACATGACATAAAATATACTTACAACTCTTCAAAAATAGAATCTGGTCCCATACTTAAGTTATCACTTAAATTTGAGATTGCATTAAAAACTTTCATCTCACTTATTCTTGTAGTACCCAGAGAGACATTATGAGTATCCTTAAAATCCATATCATCACCACATCACCAGTACTCTCATTATATACACTAGAAAAAAAAATTGCAATTTGCAATGTGTTCTCGCTAGACCGTCCGTTATAGATCTCACAACTTGGCAAATCATAATTTCTACTTCTGCTATTAACAAAACTCCAAAAAGAGCTCGGGTCATTTTTAATAGTATTTTCCATATTATTTATATATTCTTGGTAACATGAGCAACAACATCGTTCAAGTCTAATAGTGCATCCCAATCAGGTGGACCCAAAAAATAGTTTAGGCTGTGAAAATTAGCATTGTTAAAGGCATAATACTCATAATTAAAGTAAGCTGTTCTCCCACTTTCAAAATCAAGAGACAATTTACACTTAAGTGCTGGATGATAAGCATCACAATTAGGTAATGGTACCTCAGCTGTTGCAACGGAAATATGATCATAATCAGAAAAAATAAGGTCCAAAAATCCATGGTAACTATTTGGAATATTATTACATTGTTTTAGGTTCAAGTATGTAGCCATATTCGAGATACATTTAGCCTGCTGCGATACATTACCTGAGCTTTGAAGAAAACATCTAGAATCAATCCAATATATACTTGGCAAATTGAAATCTCCAAACAAAATCATATAATTACAATCGCTTGTGTCATAAATTTCTTCAATTGTCAAAGACAGAGATTCATAATTCAAATTAGATATATACCTATACAATATATATATTAAGTAATCTACCGCAAGAAAATTTCTATCTTCTTTAAAACTATCTATTCACAAAAGTAGGTAGGTATGTAGGTAAGTGGAAAAATAAAAAAAATATTTACATATAAGATAGAACAGACTTTAATAATGCTACAAGACATGCAAAAAAGGTTAGTGCATCCATTACAAAATAATCAAGAGGAAGCTTCACAGGTTTGGTTTATCAACAAAAAAATAAATAACCTGGTTTACAATTTAATCACTCTCTCTCTCTTTTTGTCTTTTAATGTTTTCCTTTTTCTTGTTTCAATAGCCCACATTTTATTATTATAATCTACATAGATTCTTATAAAATATTTAGGTTTATTACAAGTTTGCTAGTTATTTAAATAGACAACCAAAGTACACACAGATGTTTCTTCAATAGTTTTGAGTTTGTATAAACACTTACAGATACAACAATATTCACTGATTTATGTGAACAATTGTGCATTCAAATATCTCTTCCAGGAAATCAGACAACTGGAGCTTCTTTGCAAGCAACTCTACGAATCCCAAGACAGTGCCATACGTTCGGACGCAGAAAAAACCCTGGTGGTTTTCCAGGAAAGCCCCGACGCGCTAACAAAATGCCAAGTTTTACTAGACAGAGGCGATTCGGCGTACGCCCAATTACTTGCCGCCACTACTTTGACCAAATTGGTATCGAGAAGTGCACAAGGTAGCAAAATCATTCAATTTGAATAGGTTTTGAGTTTCATGTTTTCAGGTTTGAGCTTGCAACAGAGAGTGGACATAAGAAATTATGTCCTAAATTATTTAGCTACAAGACCAAAATTACCAAACTTTGTTGTACAAGCTCTTGTAACTTTATTTGCAAGAATAACTAAGCTAGGTTGGTTTGATACGCATAAAGATGATTATATGTTTAGAAATGTTGTAGCTGATATTGGCAAGTTTTTACAGGTATTTTTTTTTTTTTGTATAAAATTACCAATATTATTAAACCAAATACACTATTTGTTTAGGGATCAGTTGAACACTGTATGATAGGAGTACAGCTCTTGTCACAACTCACCTGCGAAATGAATCAAATATCGGACATAGAAGCCAATAGGTCATTAACAAAACACAGAAAAATCGCTTCATCGTTTAGAGACTCCCAGCTATTTGAAATTTTCAGATTGTCTTGCAGTTTACTGAGTACTGCTAGAGAAAACTGCAAAAATCTCAATTTTAGTGATGAAAATCAACACGGTTTGATGACGCAACTGTTGAAGTTGGCCCAGAATTGTTTAACTTTTGATTTCATTGGTACATCAACTGACGAATCTTCTGACGATTTGTGTACTGTTCAAATACCTACTAGTTGGCGCCCAGCGTTTTTAGATTTTACAACTCTCAAATTGTTTTTCGATTTATATCATTCATTGCCAAACACTTTATCTAGTCTGGCTTTGTCCTGTTTAGTTCAAATTGCTTCAGTACGTCGCTCTTTGTTTAGCAATATAGAAAGGTAACTATTGAATAGTTGTGAGTGGTTTAACTGAAATGATTATTTTAAGGGCAAAATTCTTAACTCATCTAGTCAATGGTGTCAAGCATATTCTACAAAACCCTCAAGGACTAAGTGATCCTGCAAATTATCACGAATTTTGTCGTCTATTGGCCAGACTAAAAAGCAACTATCAACTAGGGGAGTTGGTAATGGTTGACAACTATCCAGAATCTATACAATTAATTGCCAAATTTACGGTACAAAGTTTGCAAATGTGGCAATTTGCACCCAACAGTGTACACTATCTTTTATCGCTCTGGCAAAGGATGGTGGCTTCTGTGCCATATGTCAAAGCTACAGAGCCTCATTTGTTGGAAACATACACCCCAGAAGTAACAATAATTATGAAATAAATCAATAATTTTTTTTAAAAATAAAAACCATTCCAGGTTACTAGTGCCTACATATCATCCAGGCTAGAATCAGCAGCCGTTGTAGCCAGAGATGGCCTAGAAGATCCTCTAGACGATCTTGGTATGGTGCAGCAGCAATTGGAACAATTATCTGTGATTGGCCGGTGCGAATATGGGAAAACTTGCACGTTGTTGGTGCAACTTTTTGACAGAGCTGCTGCCACCTATCAGGAATTGTTGAGTTCGCGTACCCAACAAGTTGAAGTGGCTGTACAAGAAGGTATAGACTTAAACAGAGCATATAAGTACTTTGAGTATTTTACTTGAATTACTTTTTTTGTTATTTACTTTCAATATCTATTCTAAAATATTTATTTTTACTTGATAATATCAAGTATTTTGCTTGAAGTATTTTAAGTGATTCTTGAGTTAGTACAGGCTATTTGATTATATTTTTAGGCCCATACCTCTATTTATAGTGAATTCAATGGTATATAATTTATTCCAATTTGCTTGAAATTTAAGAAAGATATGAGCAATTGCTCATGACCATGTCAAGATTTTGAAAATTTTCCTATCTACTTTTCTTTTTACTTAAAATGGCCATTTGAAAATGATGTCAGGGTTGTTTTTCACTAATTTTCACCCACTCTATCGATTGATGAAGTCAAAATTGAGCAAAACTGAAAAATAAAAAAATCGAAATTTTCATAAGGGTACCTTTGAATTCTGATTTAAAAATATTCAAACCTCAATTGCTCGGTAACCGTTGGGAAAATTGCGTTGAAATTTTCAGCATTTGTAGCTCTTATCAAGCTCTAAAAGACCTGTAATTTACTATATTCCCAGGTTTATAGTTTTTGAGAAAATTAAGTTTGAAGTTGTTGGCAAAATTTTGACTAAAAATCAACTTTGAGGCTCAATTACTTAAAAGCTATTTGAGCTATTAAACTCAATTTTATACAGATTTATAGAAAATTTAATGCTCTTTCCAGTGGTATATAATTTATTTTAATTTGCTCAAAATTTAATAAAGATATGGGCAATTGCTCAAGACCATGTCAAGATTTTGAAAATTTTCCAGAGTCAAAAATAGGATTTCCTTTTTATTTTTGTTTCTGCTTAAAATGGCCATTTGGAAATTATGTCAGGGTTGTTTTATACTAATTTGGACCAGCTCTATCGATTGAAAAACTCAAAATTGAGCAAAACTAAAAAATAAAAAAATTGAGTTTTGATAAGGGTTCTTTTTTTTTGAAATCTAAAAGCCAACTTTGAGACTCAATTGCTCAAAAACTATTTGAGCAATTAGGCTCAATTTTGCACGGATTTATAGAGAATTTATTGCTTTTTCCAATGATATATAATTTATTTAATTTTGCTGAAATATCCAACGCAGATCTGGACAATAATCAAATACCCTGTATCACAGAGAAGTACCAAAATTAAGTCAAGTATTACTTCCAGTAATTTATTTAAAGTGTTTTACATACTTCAAGTACTAAAATATACTTCAAGTAATGCTACTTTACTTGAAGCTCAATGTTTTTACTTGAAGTAAATTAATTGATGAAATTCAAGTAAATTTCAATAATTTTAAAAAACTTGTACTTCAAGTAAATCTATTTAATACATTATTTACTTCATACTTGTACTTCAAGTACTAGCCTTAATATTAACAAAAATTATTTCAGGCCAACTAACATGGTTGGTGTACATAATAGGCTCAGCCATTGGAGGTCGCGTATCTTTTAATTCAAACGAAGAACACGACACAATGGATGGTGAACTTGTGTGTCGCGTTTTGCAACTGATGAATTTGACAGACAATAGATTATCTCAAGGTATATTTGAGTAATTTTAATTATTTTTTTTAAATTGAATTGTTTAGGTGGGTGTGAAAAGTTGGAACTGGCAATGTTAAGTTTTTTCGAACAATTTAGAAAGATCTACGTGGGTGATCAGGTGCAAAAAAATTCAAAAGTTTATAGGAGATTGTCTGAAGTTTTGGGATTGAGCGACGAGGCAACGGTGCTTAGTGTATTTATTAGGAAAATGTAAGATTCTACTAAAGCAAACTATTAAATCCTAACATGAGTTTATGTTTTAGTATAACAAATTTAAAATATTGGGGCCGCAGTGAGACTACAATAAGTAAAACATTACAACTACTTAATGATTTGTCTGTTGGTTATAGTTGTGTAAGAAAATTAGTTAAATTAGAAGAAGTAAGTAAAAAAATTATTATAATTTCAATATTATACATTCAATTAATGTAGGTTCAATTTATGCTCAACAACCATACGAGCGAACATTTTCCATTCCTTGGTAATACAGTGTCTGTAAATGAAATGAGATGTCGTTCAATGTTTTACACTTCATTAGGACGATTATTAATGGTAGATCTTGGTGAGGATGAAGATCGATTCCATAATTTTATGCTACCTTTAACAGGTATATAAATATTCAATCAAACAACCAAGTATTATAATAATAATAATGTTTCAGCTGCATTTGAAAGTATAGGTCAATTACTAGCAGCTTCAGAGTCTCCAATGTTTGCCAACGATGAAGCGAAAAAAGCCCTAATTGGCTTAGCAAGAGATTTAAGAGGTTTAGCGTTTTCTTTTAACACTAAAACTTCATACATGATGCTTTTTGATTGGATTTATCCAAATTATACACCGATATTACTTAGAGCAGTAGAGTTGTGGTATCATGATCCACAAGTTACCACTCCGGTGTTAAAATTATTTGCCGAATTAGTACAAAACCGATCGCAAAGGTTACAATTTGATGTTTCTTCGCCCAATGGGATTTTATTATTCAGGGAGGCTAGTAAAATAATTTGTAGCTATGGTGAGTCTTTTGGTTATTGTGATTTTTATATGTTTATTTATTGATTATTTAGGAACTCGCATATTGAATGTAGAAGTGAGCAAAGAGCAAATATATCCATTGAAATTGAAAGGGATTTCAGTATGTTTTTCAATGTTAAAGGCCGCCTTGTGTGGGAGTTACGTTAATTTTGGGGTATTTAGACTTTATGGAGATGAGGCTTTAGATAATGCCTTAAACGTTTTTGTTAAGCTGTTATTATCAATACCTCAAAGTGATCTTTTGGTAAGTAACTCAATAAATGCATCAGAGGTTTTAAAAATATATATATATTTTTTTTTTGCAGGATTATCCTAAATTATCTCAAACTTATTACGTATTGTTGGAGTGTTTGGCCCAAGATCACATGAGCTTTTTAGCAACGCTGGAACCTCAAGTATTCCTTTATATTTTGTCGTCAATCTCTGAAGGACTGACAGCCTTAGGTGGGCATTATAATCACTATACAGGTCCGTGTACTAGTCGGGGACAAAAATGCACCTACGTTTAGAATTTAGATAGCAGACCATTTTGCATGTGTATTATAATTGTTGCTTACGAAAAAAAAAATCATTGGGTTTTAGGTGTGGATAATATAAAAAACAATAATTGTTTTTGACTTCAGAATAGTTCTGTTGTCTTTAAGATTTCCTCAAAAAATCACAATTCTGTTTACAGGGTGTAATAACAAAAGTTCTTTGTTTTCAAAAAATTACTTTGAAGATTTCTAACTTTTCAAAAATATCCCTGTTTTGGGATCCAATGGAACATTGTCTTTCTTTCTCTACAAAGTCACAATTTCACAATCACTGTAGAGGAATATTACACTTTTAACACTTATAGGTTTGTTCCTACAGCAATTATTGCTAAACTATCTCAGTAAAGTTATTAAATTTATCAATAGAAAACCCAGGGTTGGAGTTTCTATTGAATTTTTGCAAGTTATTGTGTTTTTGTAGGGTTTTTATATTTTATCAACTACTAGAACAAATTGTATATTTGTTTCAACAGTTTTGCACCTGAGAAACTCCAAAATTGAAATTATCAAATATTGAAAATCTTCCAAAAATGAAACTGAGACAGTTTCTGCCTCACAGTTCCTTTAATTTTTATCCAATTTCAACGCAATTAGGTTCCAATTAAAGCCAATTGAATTCTCTACAAACCTATTAATTAAGATCTTAATTTGGTTCCAACAGTTTTGCAGCTGAGAAAATGAATTTGTTGAACATTGAAAATTTTCCAAAAATGATACTGAGACAGTTTTTGCTTCACAGCTCCTTTAATTTTTATCCGATTTTAACGAAATTAGGCTCTTATTAAAGCCAATTAAATTCTCTACAAACCTGTTAATTAAGATTTTAATGTAGGTTCAACCGTTTTGTACATGAGAAGCTCCAAAATTGAATTTATCAAACATTAAAGTTTTTCCAAAAATGACACTGAGACAGTTTTGGCCTCACAGCTTCATTAATTTTAATCCGATTTCAACGTAAATAAACTGAAATTAAAGCCAATTAAATTTTCTATAAGCCTGTTAATACAGATTTCAATTTAGTTTCAACATTTTTGCAGCTGAGAAACTTCAAAATTGAAATTATCGAATATTGAAAATTTTCCAAAAATAACACTGAAACAAATTTTGGCTCACAGCTCCGTTAATTTTTATCCGATTTTAACGAAATTAGGCTCTTATTAAAGCCAATTAAATTCTCTACAAACCTGTTAATTAAGATTTTAATTTAGGTTCAACCGTTTTGTACATGAGAAGCTCCAAAATTGAATTTATCAAACATTAAACTTTTTCCAAAAATGACACTGAGACAGTTTTGGCCTCACAGCTTCATTAATTTTAATCCGATTTCAACGTAAATAAACTGAAATTAAAGCCAATTAATTTTCTATAAGCCTGTTAATACAGATTTCAATTTAGTTTCAACATTTTTGCAGCTGAGAAGCTTCAAAATTGAAATTATCGAATATTGAAAATTTTCCAAAAATAACACTGAAACAGATTTTGCCTCACAGCTCCGTTAATTTTTATCCGATTTTAACGAAATTAGGCTCTTATTAAAGCCAATTAAATTCTCTACAAACCTGTTAATTAAGATTTTAATTTAGGTTCAACCGTTTTGTACATGAGAAGCTCCAAAATTGAATTTATCAAACATTAAACTTTTTCCAAAAATGACACTGAGACAGTTTTGGCCTCACAGTTTCATTAATTTTAATCCGATTTCAACGTAAATAAACTGAAATTAAAGCCAATTAAATTTTCTATAAGCCTGTTAATACAGATTTCAATTTAGTTTCAACATTTTTGCAGCTGAGAAGCTTCAAAATTGAAATTATCAAATATTGAAAATTTTCCAAAAATAACACTGAGACAGATTTTGCCTCACAGCTCCGTTAATTTTTATCCGATTTTAACGAAATTAGGCTCTTATTAAAGCCAATTAAATTCTCTACAAACCTGTTAATTAAGATTTTAATTTAGGTTCAACCGTTTTGTACATGAGAAGCTCCAAAATTGAATTTATCAAACATTAAACTTTTTCCAAAAATGACAATGAGACAGTTTTGGCCTCACAGCTTCATTAATTTTAATCCGATTTCAACGTAAATAAACTGAAATTAAAGCCAATTAAATTTTCTATAAGCCTGTTAATACAGATTTCAATTTAGTTTCAATATTTTTGCAGCTGAGAAGCTTCAAAATTGAAATTATCAAATATTGAAAATTTTCCAAAAATAACACTGAGACAGATTTTGCCTCACAGCTCCGTTAATTTTTATCCGATTTTAACGAAATTAGGCTCTTATTAAAGCCAATTAAATTCTCTACAAACCTGTTAATTAAGATTTTAATTTAGGTTCAACCGTTTTGTACATGAGAAGCTCCAAAATTGAATTTATCAAACATTAAACTTTTTCCAAAAATGACAATGACACAGTTATGGCCTCACAGCTTCATTAATTTTAATCCGATTTCAACGCAAATAAACTGAAATTAAAGCCAATTAAATTTTCTATAAACCTGTTAATACAGATTTCAATTTAGTTTCAACATTTTTGCAGCTGAGAAGCTTCAAAGTTGAAATTATCGAATATTGAAAATTTTCCAAAAATAACACTGAGACAGATTTTGCCTCACAGCTCCGTTAATTTTCATACGATTTCAACGCAATTAGGCTCTTATTAAAGCCAATTAAATTCTCTACAAACCTGTTAATTAGGATTTCAATTTAGGTTTAACCGTTTTGTACATGAGAAGCTCCAAAATTGAATTTATCAAACATTAAACTTTTCCCAAAAATGACAATGAGACAGTTTTGGCCTCACAGCTTCATTAATTTTAATCCGATTTCAACGTAAATAAACTGAAATTAAAGCCAATTAAATTTTCTATAAGCCTGTTAATACAGATTTCAATTTAGTTTCAACATTTTTGCAGCTGAGAAGCTTCAAAATTGAAATTATCGAATATTGAAAATTTTCCAAAAATAACACTGAGACAGTTTTTGTCTCATAGCTCCTTTAATTTTCATTGAATTCTAACGAAATTAGGCTTTAATTAAAGTTAATTAAAATCTCTACAAACTTGTTCATTAAGATTTTAATTTAGTTTCAACAGTTTTGCAGTTCAGAAGCTTCAAAATTGAATTTATCGAACATTGAAAATTTTTCAAAAATGACGCTGAGACAGTTTTTGGCTCACAACTCCGTTAATTTTCATCCGATTTCAACGCAATTAGGCTTCACCTTAAGCCAATTAAATTCTCTACAAACCTTTTGATAATAATTATCTGAATTTTTTTCAATATTGATGGTTCTAACCCTGAGAAAAGCCACTGATAATAATTAATTGAGATTGTTCTAGGAACAAAGCTATTCACAGATGGTCTGCTGCTTTCTGTCTCTGACTGTACCTGATTGTTGCTTTAGATTTAGAGCATATTTAACCAAAAGCTTATGTTTAAATTAAATCAAAAAAAAAAAAAAGAAAAAAAAAATTAAATATTTTTTAGATACAATGGTTTGTACAGGATGTTGCGCTACACTGGACCATATAGTAACATATTTATTTAAACACTTGACCCAAAAAGGTAAGTTATGATTAAAAAAAAACAATATTTATCAAACATATTTCTAGCGTATCCAGGAAAAAAGACACCACTACCTCAAAGCAGTGGCGACATGTTCCTAAAAGTCCTAGAAATGCATCCGGAAATCCTGCAGCAAATTCTAAGTACCGTCCTGAATGTCATAATGTTTGAAGATTGCAGGAATCAATGGTCAATGTCTAGGCCCTTATTAGGTCTGATTTTACTGAACGAAGACTATTTCGCCCAAATGCGAGAAAGCATTATTAGGAGTCAACCGCCGGACAAACAAGCCGCCATGGCACAATGGTTTGAAAATTTGATGGACAGCATTGAAAGGAATTTGTTGACTAAAAATAGAGACAGGTAATATAATCAATTATTATTGATTTTGTTATGTATTCAAATATAACAAGATGATTTTTAACTAACTCTTGCGTGTTAACTTGAGACCTGTGGAAGACAGACTATCACTGTCTTTCTTTGACATCTCTTATCACTAAAGCTACATTGACAACAGAAATGATTATTAATTATTGTTTTTTCTTTATAGATTTACACAAAACCTTTCAATGTTCCGAAGAGACATAAACGATTCCCTAAAAGGTCCCAACGTCAATACGACGTCAGTAAATGACATGATGACTTCATAGTTTAAAGAACAATTGTTATTTTGTATAGGAAAAAAAAGTGATGATTTAGATGTATTTAAGTGCGGATATACTTTATTCTTTTTTTTAGTTAAGATTTAATTATTGTGCATTTGTTTCAATTTTTTTTTTGTATAGGTATGTAACAATCAGATTTTTAATTGTGTTGCTTGATAATTTAGTAAATTATTTAATTTTTTGGTGAGTGTCAGAGAGAAGCGAGGGCGCGGTCTTTTTACAAAATAATAATAGGAAAGAGTTATTTGTTGCAGTGATCTTGTATGGACGATTATGTTACTTTGTACATTGTTAATAAAAACAACAGATTTGTATGTACTTTGTGAGTTTTTTTTTTTTTGATTTATTAATAATAATAACTACAAGGAATTACTTCTACTAACTATAATTACCTAATTAAAGCAATTGTTATAGATATTTGCACAATTTCCATTTTTTTCTTGGGCAATCATTAGTTACCAAAATCTCATCTAATTAGGATTGTCACATAATTTCGGCTATTGTTCTAAAAAAAAAAAAAGACAATTACCTTATTACAAATTGGTTTTAGCCACTTTAAACTTTTTCCTAATATTAATTATTATAATAATCATTGTGTTTTATTAGGTAGGTATACAATAGCTATTTTCCTAACGAGTGCGGGAAGAGAAATTTCCGGCACAAGGGTGTGAGGCTCCCGAGTGTCAGAAATTTCTTCCAGCAAGAGTTAGGAACTATATTTTTTCTACGAGCATACTAAAGCTGATGTTACGAGAAGTTTAATTTAAATAAAATGCGATTGTGCAGAAGGTAGAATATGTAAGTTGGTGACACTTACCAACCGACAGGGGGATTTAATTATTTTGAAAGGTTTGACAATAGGTATATTTTGAGAACTAAATGTCACTAAAAATCGTTGAAGAATGAGCTTCATTCTTCAATGATTTTGCGTGCGGGAATAATGACATTCTCACATCAAAATCGAGTAAAAAGTCTTCTGTGGTCTTCCCGCACAGCAAATCGTGCGGGAAGAGCCATTTCCCGCACGCTCGTAGAAAAAACTTACAGCTGTATGCAACATCCTCTTTTAACTTAAAAGCGCTTTTTAAAACTGGTACCTTTAAAATTTTGCATAGCTTAGAATACACATTTTTAAAAGTGGCCAGTTTTAAAAAGCGCTTTTAAGTTAAAAGAGGATGTTGCAAATACAGCTGTTAGTATTTAGTTTTGTTTCTTTTCTAAATGTAATTCTCGAATGATCAGTGGCGGCTCGTGACTATTTCAAGTGAGGAGGCTAGAAAATAATGAATGACGGTAAAGTGACCACTGCGCAGCAGGCAAAATTTGTTTTGGGGTGCCCATGCCCTCAATAATCTGGTACATCGGAGAGAACTGAGACTCGGAATGTCGACTAAAAATCACATTTTGAATATTCTATTCCCGATTTTAGATTGGCTTTAAATTATCCGCTGACCAATAGAATTAAAGACTGAGCCCCGTGATTAAAATAACTCCGGCCCTTCGGGCTCGCGTATAACTCTAGCCCTTCGAGCCTGCGTATAATTCCAGCCATTCGGACTCGCATATTATGTAACTCTGGCCCTTTGTTTTTTTTTGGTTTGGGGATTCAAATTTTGATTATTCCCGGCTCTTGATTGGCTTTAAATTTTGAATATTCCCGGCTTTTGATTGGGTTTAAAATAACCTATAAATCGAGATTTGATAAAAACATATCGTCGTTAATTTGACAAAGGGACGTATATGAGAAATGGGCGATTTTTCGTTTTCAGGGAATTTATGTCGCAAAACATCAAATTTATACGCCCTCTAATTGGTGCATATGACCTGCCAGTAGTTTCTGGATTATACACATTTTTCTTTAAGATGTAGGTATGTTTTGAAACAAGAAATATGCATCTTCCTAAAAGGCGTATATCATATAGGTATAGTTTATCTATTCTAAATTGAACCACTTTATTTTCAAGCTATGTATAAGGTACGATCAAATATTAGGCACCTTTGGCGTGAATAAATACTAAAAAAAATTATATAAATGTTTTGAATATTCTCTACTAGAAACTACAATCGGCAAAATGAAATACTGGTTGTCGGAACGAAATTTCGAAAAGATTTCTTCATGTTTATTTGCCTGGGCGATGCGACGTGACGCGTGTAGTTTCACAGTAGTTTGTTCTTTTTATCAGAGGCGGAGGCAGGTTTATATGTGTGTATATTTTTATGAAATAATTGTTTAAAATTTTTAAAAAATATCTCCTAAACGGACCTGGGGCATGTGTATTCCAAAATATCTCAAATAAATAATAAATATAAATTAAATTTTACGTAGAATAATATCTAAATTATATTTATTTATTATTTATTATGAAACATTTTTGGAAACCTCGCCACCTATGCTTCATAAAGAAAACGCCGACTATTAATGGAGATTTATTTTTTGTGGTGGTTCAATTGAGAATAGATAAACTATACGCTTGTAAAATTTAAGAAATTCAATATACGCCCATTAGTAAAATTAATGACGATATTGCAACGTTGCTCATGATACAACAAACGTCGAAAAATTGAAATTTCAAAGTAGGCCTTGAGTTTTTTGACAGTCGGTATAAAATGGCGTCTTTTTGTTTCAAAGATTACGGTCCGAAGGGTATTCAAATCAGTTGACAATAAACGGGTTCGTATAACGCCGGCCCTTCGGGCTCGTATGACCTCGGACTTTCGGGCTCATGGTTAAAATAATTCCGGCCTGTTGGACTCGTATAACTCCGGCCCTTCGGGTTTGCATAACTCCGGCCCTTCGGATCGTATAACCTCGGCCCTTTGAGCTCATAATTGAGATAACCTCAGCCTTCCAGAATCGAGATTTGAAAAAAAAAAAACATATGGCAACACTGCTTATAATACAACAAACGTCAAAAAATTGGCCGGTCCCCTGTTTGGCTACTTCCTACGTATTCGCCGAGACTAAATCTATATGTCCATGTGGGTTTTTTTCAATTTTGACAACTATCAATATCAAAAATGTTTACCTTTTCTTTTTTTCAAAAAACAAATGTCAGAAAACGATCCCCAGGCTCCGAAAATACTGAAATAAAAAGTTTCATCGATATATGTCAAAAACCAACGACATGGCAACGCCGAACGTCTTTTTTGACATATGTTGAAAAAAAATTTGGTACTTCCTATGTATTCGCCGAGGCTAAATCTATATGCCCATGTGGGTTTTTTTTTAAATTTCGACAGCTGTCAATCTCAAAAAAAAACGTCGTTTTTTAGTGGGTTTTAGGGTAATATTTATATAGCAACATATGTAGCAACACTTATATGAAAATTTAATGAATTCATTCGTAGCAACAGTTGGTACGAAAAATTCAATTTCCCGTCGGGTTTGGATTTCGAATTTTTGAATTTTCCCGGCTCCTGATTGGTTTGGGGATTCGAATTTTGATTATTCCCGGCTCTTGATTGGTTTTAAATTTTGAATATTCCCGGCTCTTGATTGGGTTTAAAATAACCTATAATCTCGGCCCTTCGAGCTCGAGATTTGAAAAAAACATATGGCAACACTGCTCATGATACAACAAACGTCAAAAAATTGAAATTTCAAAGTAGACTTTGGTTTTTTTGACAATCGATACAAAATGATGAGGTCTTTTTGTTTCAAAGATTACGGCCCGAAGGGCCGGAGTATTAAAATCAGTTGACGATGAATGGATAAAACTTTTGTAAATATCGACAGATGTCACCTGTCAAATTTGACACATGTTCGACTTTTTCCCCGCTCTACTATAAAAGCTACGAAAATCAAACCCCGGGTACAAGACAGTTTCACGACACTAACTATCGATTTGTGTCAAAAAAATTTGACAGCTGTCAACGTCAAAAAGGTTTTTTTTTTATTTTGCGAATTTCAAGAAAAAAAATGGTGGAAAACGATCCCCGGCGGACCCCAAAAACCCTAAATAAAAATCCCAAAAAAAAACCAACGAAAATGACATCCCAAAACCTCGCTACTTGATGAAACTAAAGTTTTTCTCACTTACCCCGTTGAAAAACTGGAAATTTTTGATGGAAAATGAAGAAAACTTAAAGCCTCGTACTTTAAATCAGTTTTCCCGACTGAAAAAGCTCCGGAAAAGTGAAAAATTCGAAGAATAACTGGATAAAAATGGAAACACGTCAATTGAAAATGGCCGACTGTCAAAAATGCTTCCTTGATTGAAGTTAGCCACAAGCGATATTGCCACATCAAAAGCATTTTAAATGAGATTTTGCTAATTATGGCATTTAAAACTAGAAATGAAGAAAACTCAAAACCTCGTATGTTAAATCGCTTTTTTCCATTAAAAAACCCCGGAAAAGTCGAAAATTAGAGAAAAAACTGGCAAAAAATCATAAGACGTCAATTCAAAATGGTCAACTAAAAGCAACGTTGCCACATATCATCTCGGAAAACAAAAATAACATTTTAAAAGGGTTTTTTGTTTAAAATTCAATTTATTAATTAATTAATAATGATTATAATAATTAAAATTCCCCAAATAAATCATAGGAAACTTGTTTTTAGTTCAATTTCAATGAAAATGACATTATAAGGTTTACTTATTGATTATAGTGAGTAAGGCAAAGACAACGATAAAGTAGTATATGTTTGCAAAAACCACCGTTTTCTGAAAAAAGAAAATCTTAAAAAAACCCCATAGAAAACCAACATTCCAAAGTCAATTTGATAAAATTAAAGTTTTCGAATATTTCCGGCTCTTTGATTGGACGCTAAAAATCGCATTTTAAATACTCCCGGTTTTTAATTGGCTTCGAATTATCTGCTGACCAATAGAATTATAGACTGAGCCTCGTGATTAAAATAACTCTGGCCCTTCGGGCTCGCGTATAACTCCGGTCCGGCCCTTCGGGCTCGTATTACTCCAACCCTTTAAGCTCGCATATAATTCCGGCCCTTCGGGCTCGTATTACTGAGTATCCCAGATTCACAGATTTTTGTCGTGGAGGCGCGGGATTGATTGAAATAATGTTGTCAGATTTTTCTTAATTACATTGAAATATCGAAATTTGTAAATTATTATTTCAATTACGAATCAGGAATAAAAAATTGAGATTGAATTTTCAATTTTTTAGCCTCCCCTGCCTCCTCTGACTAGTCGCCACTGCGAATGATTATTTTGATGATCCTAATTATCACTACACCTCTAAAGAGAGTCTAAATTGCATTGTTTTCTATTTGTACAAAGTCTATGACCTTTCAAAGTGAAAATCCATCAAGTATAATTTCAATTTTTTAAAAACCAAAAATAATTTACAATAAAAATTTACAAAAGACCATAAAACTA